ATTTAAAACAAAGGAGCAGAAATTGATATAAATATTCTTTTGATATATTAAACGTTTAAATATAGTTGGGTCGCCTCAAATGGCCCGAAAAGAAATTGCCCGAACGCATGTCGCGGAAATTGCCCGAACCGGAAATAGCCCGAAAGAACTTCCCCGAAGGAAGTTGCCCGAAGACTTTGACAGCGGGAAGGAAAATGACCGAATTTTTTGCGGAAATAGCCCGAAATGAGACTGAAACTAGACCTTTCAATGCGTGACCAAAAAATGGTTCTTTAATGAACTAGTAGCAAATGAGCAGTTGGGATTAGGATTTAAACAGAGTCTGAATCAATCTGCTGAGCGCGTGAGCTGGCTTTTGGGGAACACACTTGAAAGAAGCGTCTATGTGTACCTGCTTATGACCTCCCATTTCTTTTACCAGCTCGGGATCCCCGAAAAAACAAGCTTTAAAAATATTATCACTATAGCTTCCTAAGAAGAATTTGTTGTTTGGGTCTCGGACCGTTGAGGCGATTCGGGCACGCTCTGCAGAATTAAGCAAATCTTCTAATTCCACGAGCGTGTCGGGAATGTTAGGCAAAATGTGCGGCGCCGAACCTTCTCAAGAGTGCTAACTATATTGCCAAATCCAACTAGTGGCGCTACGACTCGAAAACTACAATATAGAGAACTAACCGTGATTAATAATGATAAGTGAATTAACAAAAAATATACTAACTTACTCAGCACTCTGGGACACTTTGTTGAAGATGCCTTTCAAAGACATTGTGCTGTTCATGGCACACTCCTTCAAACGCTCCTCAAAAATGAGAAATGCTGATCGAAAAAGTAGAGAGAGGAAGATAGAGAGCGAGAGAGAGTATGTGTGTGTGTTTGTATAATGAAACGCAAAAACATTAAATTTGCTATCTGTACATTCTATAAAGATATAAAGAGTGCTTATATGCAACCTGCTGCGAATTCGGGTAACTTCCGATTCGGGCAATTTCTGCGCAGATTCGGGCATATTGCTCTTGAGAATTCGGGCAGATTCCGTTCTGCAGACGTTCGGGTAACTTCCGATTCGGGCAATTTCCGAGCAAAAACGTTCGGGCAATTTCTTTTCGGGCCATTTGGGGTTCACCATATAGTTTTATAACAAATTTTTATTATTATTAGCAATAATTTATCATGTTATGTATTTTTTTTTAATAAATCTGGTAATAAGGCTTTAATACGAGATCCATAAAGACAATTTAGGAGAAAAAAATAATAATTTTTGTTGAAGAGGCACGCGGAAAATGCAGCCGCAATTATTGGCAGCGATCAGGAATGATCGTTATTGGCGGCGGAATTCGCACCTCGGCTGCATGTTGATCCGTTCAAGGCAAACAAGTAATTAGTCTGCATTGCATTCCGAGGCCACCGTCCCACCACTAATCCAATTATTTTCGGGTGGCGCCGTCGAACGCTAGGGGGTGACGAACGGCTCCAATTCCCCCGAATCGGCGATGTAGAGCTGAGTCTTCTAATTAACGATCGCGGAGCTTTCCCTTAATGAACTCGTTTGTGCCTCCGATCCGCCGCCGCCAATTTCGCAGGCCGCGATTGTTGTCGTGCACAAACGCTAACCCCATAAAATGACGCCGCAAACTCATTTCAGAACATACAATTAAACTCTCATATAGAATCCAGGAAGCACTCATTGCCAGTTTCAATTCATCTCAAAAAGTATATCCTTTATTTAATTTAATTTGATACGAAAAAACTAAACGGTTCGAATGAGGTTTTTTAATTTTCAAATCACAAATTTATTTAATTTTTTTTTTACCATCAGTGTTAATTTACAAAATTCCATTCAGCACTTTGAAATTTCAATGTGTGTTCCACAAAAATTCGGTTTAAATTTACTTGAAATTGATTCTACAAGAAAATGTGCATTAAATTTCAGCAATGCAAAAAATGAATTTTGTCATCATCCGAAATTGAAATATACATTTTCCACGATGCAGCGGCAAATAAAAAAATCTTATTTGATGAAATTTTGATAAATTATTTTATGCTTAAATCTGGCCAGCTCATGCCAATTTATTCTGATTAAATTGATAATTAAGTCACCTTTTCTCCCACAAATAAATTGCATGATCGGTGCTCATTTTATTAATAGAAAATTTTGATCGTCTAGGATTTGCGAACCTACTGATTTATGTCGGGAAGCGACACATGGCAAAAGTATAAATGCTTTTGTATCATAATTCATGTCTCTTCATAATGAATAGATTTCACGAGTCTGCGTGGCCACAAAGCCATTTGTGCCACAGCAATATGCTGACCACGGCGATGATATTATAAAAGTCGCTCTCTAGCAGGAAAATTTCGCAGCCGGCAGCAACCACCACCCTTGTAACGCATTTCCGCTGAGAGCAAATATCGGGATATTGCCAAAGTTAGTTTTTTATTCGTTGGAGAAAAACCAAAAAACACTAGCGACGAACCATAAATTTGCAGATACATCTCTTTTCATGAGATAGCGCGCTGTTAAGGGAGAAATCTATAATAAAAAGAGGGTTCATCCGGTTCGCAGATGAAAAATGCGCCTCGCATTAGTTTGAAGAGAGCAAAAAGGAAACGGCGGTGGCCACATAAATATACGCTACGGCAAACCGACACTCACTCAAAATTAGTTGCGATTTTATTTCATGATTCTTTTGAAAATCCGCAGTACGCCAGTAAATTGCACCCTGCGCGTCGGAGAGAGTCCGGGCCGGGGGATGAGTTATGGTGAAATAAATAACGCAATTTACAATTTGCGAGCAGCGTGTTTGGTGGCGCGGAACCGCCCATTTGGCTCTCCGAGGCTGCCAGATGGTGGGTGTTCATTATGCTGGCAAAATTATGAACAGCCAAATTTACAACGCGCGCCTCTGACGCTTTTTGTCTTAATGAAAACGCGAAGACAAAGTTTTGGGCCGCGTTAATCAGATTTCCATCCGCGACAAGATGAGAGAGAAGGAGAGACGCACCTGGAAATTTGCCCGTCGCTTTATTGCAAAATTTTAATGCCGCGCTTCTTCCTGAAGAAGAGCTCACTCGAGCGTGCAAAGCAATAAACTTTTATTATGCATATTGCACACTTTTAACGAGAGCATACATAATCTATGAATGAGCAAAAGGAAACTATTATAATACATGCACACGGGCCAAAGGGTGCTTTAACCGCTGGTTTGATGGATATATTAATAAATAGTAATGAAAGGAGAAGCAGTAAAAATTGGTTAAAGACCGCTTTGTTGCTCCTCTTGTCATGCAATTTTTCGGAAAATGTGGATGCGCTTCATTTTTTGAAAACGAGATGGTATCCAGATAAAATACATGGTAAATCACTTCTACCAATAGCATAAACAAGCTATAGAAATGCAAATTTAGGCAAATGGAATAAAAGAAATAATCATTTCAGATTTCTGAACGATTTAAATCAGAAAGTATGAATGAGAAAATCCATATTTTTTCAAAAATATATAATTAATGTATCGGTTGCTGTTATGTATGTTGTTGCAATTTTTTTCTTTTATTAAATTCTTAATAAATTACAAAAGCTTTTAGCAATGATTGTGGCAATAAAACTTTCAGCTGGAACAAGTAACGCTTATCCATTAACGCGGATTAATATCTTGCCTCGTTGGCCACAAAATCCGCTCTCAGAGATTATCGGTAATCAAAACTTCGGCGTGGCAGTTCGCAAAATGAATTCTCTGGAGGACATTAGCACAAAATGTGATTTCAATTTTCCTCGCTAGTGCTTTTTCATTATTTACGCTTTGGGTGCATCATTTCAAAAGTTCGCTCATAACTCACGGCTCCGGATCAGAGTTAATTAGAAAATTATGATTTTCATCCGCACTGCTCTAATTAATGCAAGAGTGTTTTATTTATTTCACTCCTTTTTGAAAAATCTGCGGTAGAAAACATGTCGGTCTGCACGTTCCAGTTTTGGAGACCAACGGAATGTGTACTTACTGCTTTTATTGCCATTTTTTTTATTCTTTTACGACGCACGTAGCCTCTTCATTTCGTTACAATCATAATGCTGCTGCTCGTATTTCCTTATGGTATGACACAAATTTTATGTGCGTTCCGCCCGCTAGACTTCATTGTGATGCTGGCAGTATCCGACCGCTCTGTCATCTTGCGCCCTTCACGAAGGACATCTATTCTTGAGTGATGACACTCCACAATATTTACTCTAAAAAGTGTCTTTTTTTGACAAATTCTACTAGTTTATTTAAAAAACCACGCTTCAATTTTACAAAATTTTTAACTTCATACTATTATACCAATTCTAAGGAATCAAAAGGAGGAGCATTTTAACTCTCGTTTTATTATACATTTTGTTTATTAAATGGCGTATTTTTGCAACACTTACAATTGAGAGCCAAATGAAATATCATTTGTTAGCTAAACAGTTAACTTTTACTCAGCTTTTACTAAAGATTGAAGTATTTATTTTAGATTGAATTAAATGATAAAAAAGGTCTGAATTGTATCATCAGGGATAATATTGCAGTATTTGTTTTTCTTGATAAATAAAAATATTTTAGAACTCAAATCTTAGAACGTTATATTTTCCAGATGCAACGAATATAGTGAATTAATTTCCTATTAATTTTAGGCAACTTCTTGAATAATTTCAAAACTCAAAAAATTCATTGAATTTAAAAAATTGTGTATGATTAATGACCTGAAATGTCAATTGACAATTCTATGATTCGGCAATAAGTAAAATGTTGGTAAACTAAAAGCAAATAGCATCTTTGGTAGAAATTAATTTGGATTTTACAAAAGGCTCTGCCAAGTTGGGAAAAGTCTGTGACGAAAATACTATTTCCATGCAAATTTTCCGTATGCGGACTATGCGGAGGTGATGCAACACCTGGCGAGACGTAGTTGAGCGCGCGAATTTTGCATCAGCACGTTAGAATAATTTCATAATTTGACGGAGGGGAAATAATAATGTGACTTACCGACTACAAGGCAGAAGAAAAGAAACTTCTTGTCGAGCAGCGGCTGGCGTGCCATTGTTACCAGGCCAGGGTGCAGCGAGCACACTGCGTGCGGCGCAAGGAGACTGACTTTTCCTGTTTGTGGCACCTCGTTTCCAGCCGAGCACCGTCTGAATGGGGGGTGATAAAGGGATGGAGCCTCGCAGCCTCCCTGCCTGCACCAGTGTCGTGGAGGGTCACGTGACCGCCCGCTCTCTGGCGTGCGCCGCTACATATTATTTGGATGCTCCGGAGCTGGAGGGTGCACTGCTGGTGCGGAGCTGCCCCGCCGCCACCCCCTTCCTTCTTCGCACGGGGGTGGGTGGCCGAGCCGAGGGTCCTGCCGGCGAACGTGCTCCCCTCTAATGCATCTGATGCGCGCTACCGCCGCCCCAACGCACGCTTTTGCGAAAGGTCAAGGACATCTGATGCGAATTATATTATTTTTCGCACTCGCTGGTGATGCACCAAAGACTTCCGCGGAGAGAATAGAACAAAGAGTTCTTTTGAGAGAACTCTTTTGACATTGTTTCTGCCTGGTTGAAGATGTTGATTAACGCGTTGAATGTTGCGGCTGCGTCTGAAGACAGGGAAAATAAAAGTTTTTAAAACACGCGGAATGAAGAATAAAACAGGGAATGCTAAAAAAATATTTACACATTTTATGAAAGTATAAATTAAAAAGGTAATTTCAATTCAAAATATTCATTTCTATTCAAAATCATTATAATTGACAACAATAACCAAAGAATATTGTTAGAATAATAGACTTATAATTCACTAAAGGTGAAAAAAAAGAATTTTTACTCAAAGTAGTCTAAAAATTAGTAACTTTTTTGGTCAACCTATTTCTTTTTGCAAATCTGGAATCTGGATGAAGGAAAATTCAGACAAATAATAAATTTAAATTGCTCAATTTTTCACCCGCACTTGATTTTTTTTTTTAATTTCAGTTCATCATACTTTCAGTTTCAGATAGGTTTATTTTTAAATGTTGAAAGCCATCTGCCATCTTCTACTAAAATTGAAGACTTTAAAGAGATCCTTACTACTGAAAACCAAAAGCTTATCTTTTAATTTTTTTATTTATTTTTAAATAAAACTTGGAAAATAAATTTGAAAAGAAAAATATATTAAGTCTAGCAGCTAGGCATATAAAAAAAACCCTTGTTTACTTCTGTTGTCTTCTTTCAGATAAAAGTAGGCGGATTTTTTTTCTTGGTCTCAACTTGAGCAGTGATTTAAAAAAAAAATATCTTTTAAAAACATAAATCGTTGAGAAAATAATTGGTGACATCCTAAAAATTTATACTTTCTAGCTCTAAACAAAAAAGCGCATTGCCAGAAGATTAAATCCAGAAACTTTTAAACCAGAAAAAATTATATTCTACGGTGTTTTGGCACGAGTTGCGTAATCTGCAACTTCTCCGCATGACACAGAAGAGTTTGAAATTCACCTCATTTCCCTCCTAGATTACCTCAAGGGGAGACTCAACTTTAGATTAGATGCAGGGAAAGCCTTCGGCCCTTCTTCGACCAACTCGAAACTGTATAGTGGCAAGACCGACGAGACCGTCGTCGTTTCTGCTGACAAAGTCATGAATGAATGCGTGAGGCAGCTTCTCTGGTATCGTCTAACGTGGGTGTTGAAGCCCTCTTGCTGGTTTTCGCGCACACAAGCGTTTTACGACTTGGCAGAAGATTCTTTATTTGTCTGCAAAAGAAGCTGCAGTATTTTTATGGAGAAAGACGAATCCAAGCGGAAGGTGGAACAATATGAAATGATATAAATTATTGTTGAAATGCATAGATTCTTTCTGGAGTGAATAATTTAAAAGTTTTGGAAATCTTTTATATCAATGAAAATAAAATTGTTTAGATTTTCAATTGTTAACAGGAAGTTTCTATGATGCAAATAATTTGATTATTCGGAATTCGGAACACATTTTCAGAAAAATTAATAGAGTATGTAGCTATATTTTCATTTGACTCTTTATTACTTTCACATTCTAAGGAAGGTAAACTAAAAATTAAATTGATGTGTGTAGTAAAAAATTTGCTCCACATAATAATAGCCATTATTATTTTGTGAAAATAAAAAAGCAATCCCCTAGTGGAGCAAAAACCACCTTTTATGATTTATGAGACTGAAAATTCGTTCGACGAAAAGTTGGAGGGAAAAGTGTCCTTCGGAGATTTTGGCTCATAACTTAACCATGCCCGCTTAGCCCAATTTATCGCACAATTTGACCTTCAGCGCGCGGCGGCAATATCACTTTGCTCCAGCGGCACTTTTTGGCACCAATGATTAATTGGCCTGCGCACCTCCAACCGAAGGCACAAAGCACTGCAGCCTCTCTCACACCCTGAGCATGAGAGCGTCATTAACTACATAGCGCGGCTCGTATGCTGATGTTGTTCCTCAAGGGCGTGAGAACGCGGCCAGATTTCGCTCTCGCTTTAAGAAAAGAGCTTTGCTCTAATTGCGACGAATAATCAGTGATTCAAAATCATGCTAGCTGCAAAAACAAAAGATTTTGCAGAATTTGAATTAATCTATAATCAATTAAAATGTCATCTTTTTCTATTGATGCCATTCCCGAAATTCTTTCAAGATTTCAAATTTAAACAGCTCCGCACTGCCCTGCACATTGTTCATAAATTAAATAAAATGACTATATTAAAACTGAAAAAATATTAATTTAATATATTACAAATCCGGTGTTTTAATAATCGGATTTTAATAAAAATTTTGAAATATGAGAATATAAAATAATTATTAAGTTTTTTACTGTGTATGCAACCTGCGCGACCTGAGTGCATAGCGTGATGCGTTCCCTTTTAATTAAAATTTCTACCTCGCATGCGAGAGTAATTTTAATCGAGCGTGAAAATTACGCTCCACCACTCTCAATCGGTCGGTTGGCGCAATTTAGTCCTCACTCAGTCTGCATCGACACTTTGGCCGATAATGAAAGGTTCCATGACTTTGTGTCGCAATTAATTACATATATGAAGTGCACCGCATCACCTGCGTATGATGCTGGAAACAAAAACGATTGTGGTTGTAAGCGGCGGACGATTGAGTGCCGTCCATATCACAACATAATTACTGACAAGTGCACTCTGTGCGCTTCATCACAAAAACACAATGAGCACGAAACAGGGAAGTGACATGCATTTTTAAATCCGCTCCAAAATAAAATTCAACTTTGAATATAAATAATGTTAAGAATCATTAGATGAAACAAAAGCATAAATTTTTTAGTTGAAAATTATTTGAAACGAACTTCTCTGGTTACTCTGGCCATGATATGATTGATGACGAAAATTTGCTTTTTTATCTCCACGCCATCATTCACTGCCCCGGTGAAAGAGAGAGATGGGTAATGGAAACCAGTTGGCCGAGATATGCACCCTCATAAATATTTTATTGTGCAGCAGGACTGAAAATGGATGCGAGTGTTGCCCGTTGCCGCACTCACAGCAACCGCACAATATTTTTCCTGCTCTCAAGCTGAAGTGGATCGCTTTTGCTTCCTCTCTTTCTCTGTTTTTCCTCTTCAGCGTTCAACGTGTTGCATATACGTCGATCCCAGGGGCCGAGTGCATAAAACCAAGTCTTCCAATTTTCGCCCAACTGTGACGAGCAAGTGCCACCGGAACAATATTGATTCTGGTTTTCGTGTCGTCGGTCTGCTGCTATCTGCTCATCTTTGCAAACATCAATCTACCAGCTATTGACAGCTCTTGAATGCTCTCGCCAGCAAAAAATAAGACGCGTCCTTCTTTTTTCCTCTTCAGCTGATGATTGTCAGTTTGCGACTCTTTTCCGGCCTGTGAGAGCCCGATTTGAGCATCAGAAAAAAAGGGGTGCTGACGACGAGAAAAGCCTCTTGCAAGATGTAACAATGATTAATTTAAAGCAGAACCGGTGGAACGTTATGCAGTGCGTGCGCTGGTGGTTTAGTTAGCAGAAATTGCAAAGAAACTGTTCTGCTTGAAGAAAACAAAAAGATATTATCTGACAATTATCGTCGATGTAATTCTTAAAAAAGAACTTCATTAATTTTTAGCAAATAATGATATCTAATGTGAAAACGGCGAAAAACCAAATGAGCTTGTTCAATTTTAATGGATGATTTGAAAATAATATTGATAATTGATTGTCTGAAGCTGCTTGTTAGATTTAATAAATAATGTAATAGTATATTTTGCTAGCTTTATACACAATATATGATTAAGATTTATAATTTTGATTAATTTTTATTGCTCTATTTCTTATCTCTTAGTTATTATTTATTAAAAGGTTTTTTCGAAAATTTGATTAGTTTTTTTTCTGGAAAAACCCATCAAATTAAAAAAATTTCAGAAAACGAAATTCTTGTTATGCTAAAAAATATTTTCATATAATATTTTGATTATTGCACAATGGCAGCATATTTTGTGAATTAATTGCCAACGTCAACTTTCACGCGCATTTTAATTTCCTCAAGGTGTTATGCATATTTATTTCGCTTCCTCCAGGAGTGACGCAGCGTGTTTATTTTTCATCAGCAGCGGTGTTTTCTTCCGACTTGGTCAGATTATGAGCTGGCGCGGTGTCGTCAGAGCTGACAAACTTTTATCTACGCGCCACGCATGATCTCGTCCCGCAGCGCTTTTGATGGAATCATCTTCTCCAGTTGCCTAACTTGCTCGCGTTTTATCATTTTTATTGCAGCAACGCGCAGCTCAGAGGTGGCATTTTATCTCTTTGAAAAGTAAAATATATTGCCAGCCTCACGCTACTAAAATTGAAACGGCTTTCCTACAAATTCAAAAATTTACCGCTTCATGCAGGAATTGAGAATTGGGTGAAAATTGATTTTCCAGTTTTTTCTACACTAATTTTTTTATTATTAAAAGTAAACAATTAATTATATAAAAAAATGACAAACAATTTATATTTGTGAACGTATTTTTGAACGTCTACACAATGGGTCATAAGTGGTAGAGCAAACTATACCCGTTTCCAGTAACAGAAATGTGACACGTTTGCGGGTGATTGGTGAAAAGGGTACAAGAAGTGGGATTAGGAGTGCGTCGGCCGGAAGAGTGATGATTAGGTGGTGCTTTGTTGGGCAAGTGATTATCGGGGACAGTTCGCTCGACGTTCCTTTTGCGTAAGAGCGTGTTTTCTATGTACAAGAGGAGAGTGTGGAAGAGGAAATCCCTTTCTGCTGCCCATTATTCTCACTGCTGGTATAAAGGTCGTCTGTTCTCCGGGACACTTCCCAGCACAAAACGATTCATCACGGCGTACAGCACCCCGCCGATGATGATGATCACCACTGCCATGATCACGATTATCGACCACGCGGGGATTGCTGCAGATTCTGAAATTCAATTTTTTTGTTAAAAAATTAATTACGAATCAAAATCCTTCTTAAATTGTTGAAAGAAAACGTAAAGTAAAGATGTTTTGATTTAATAATACAATTTTTGTGTTGGATTGGTATAATTTCAAACAAAAGTTTTATTTTAAAAGAGAAATTATTAAATAAGCCCAAAAATGATAATAATAAACGCTAATAAATTAAAAATTTAAGGAAAGCTAACTTCCATTAATTTTTATTTTTCATTTTATTTGAAAATACATTTTTATTCTGTTAGAATTTTTATAAATTCTAAAAATTATTATAAATATGAAAAAGCTCTTTTAAAAGTTTTCCTCTGCCCGCAGGGTGAAATTATTTTAGCGTCAATACAAAGCGGAGCATTGATAATTAATCAACTGGGAGCACCAGTATTGTTTGACTGGGCCAAATGGGTCGGCCGCCGTGTTTGCATTTCTCTGTCTGCCACAAAAGCGGCATGATTGATTATGCAAATCACGCAATACTCACTGTAGTAGGTCCTGTTGATTGTCTTTCGACCTCGCAGAATTTTGCGCCGTCCCTCAACCTCGTCCAAAAACACGGACATGAGCACTGAAATCGGCAAAAACGTTTAAAAAAATTGCTCATTGACATAGGATTTTTAAATGGCACGTCAGGGAGCATTTGGGTGAGAGATGGAATTCGCACTGACAAACCATTATAAAGTGTCTGCCCCATTCAATGCATGCAAAATTATATCGCTCTATATGTAAATTTTTTCAACCAATTTTACCTCACCACCGAGACAACTTAGCTCTGTCTAAAGTTTTATGCCTGAGCTGAGCACTCACAGTGTAACATTCGCGTAAGGGGAGAATTTTCCGCGGGCCCAACTCATAACCAATAAATTATTTACTTGAAAATTTTGTATTTATAAAAAATTTATTTGTATAAATAAATAAATAATTTTTCAAATAGCTCGTTATTATTGTTATTAAAGCCAGTCGTTGTTGTTTATAAGATGTTTTTTTCTTCAAGTTGAATTTATTTCCAGTGATTTCCAGCATATTATATTGTATTTGATTCTGATTGACTATTTTTTTACGAAGAGCCTGACTTTAATTATTTTGTATTGCGATTATAAAAAAATCAATAAATTAGAGCTAAAATGCCTCTTCTAATGAAAATTTTAAAATCAAATTATTATTTTAGGATGATTCTGAAGATTTGAATTTTGAATGACGCATTGAAATTCAGGGAATTATAAACAAAATGAAATAAATTATAACTTTCCTCGTTTGCTTTTAAATGGGTTGTCGGTCTGAATGAAAGCAAACAAGGAAAATAATATATTAAATACGTGATTATGGTTTGAATAACGAGTTGAAAACACCTATAAAAAATACACAAGATGAACGGCAGAAGTTTTTCAGGCACTTTTATGCATTTTTAAGGTCTAGTGGAAATAATCAGGTGGTTAGGCGACAAGTGTGTGATTCGGTCGCTCGAGAGTGCTTTAGGTGTGGGGCTGGAGAGGGCAATTATTTATTCGGAGGGTGTACCAAGGGCGCAGAGGGACTGCGGCCGGGGTGTGTGATTTATTCACTACGTGTGTCGGGCGGCTGTCGCTAAAGAGAGCGAATGAGTTCGCAACAAGAGACAACATAATCCTCAAAGTTTAATGAAACCTGCAGCCGAGCGAACAGAAAAAAATCGACAAAAATTCGTCGCGTGCAAATATCGCAACGCCTTGCTTTCTACGAGAGAGACGCAATTTCCAGGCCAGAAATAATTTAGGCGGAGATAAAAGAAAGGGACGGCGCCTGCAAAAATGTATGTGTACTCACGTAACGAGAAGAGCGAAAAGACGGCGAAAGACCTGAGCACCCTCATATTGTGGCGATTTTCCTCCTTTGCAGAACCAAGAAACACACGCCCTATTCACACCAAAGGCAAAAAGCGAAATTCGAGTCCAGTGTACAGGAGGCTCCACGCCCTGTCTTGTCAGTTCATCTGAGCAAGAAAAGTGTGACGTTCTTATCACTCACGACGGCTTATCGCCGAGTCACCATAGTTACCTGTGGTGATAACGAATTACGCCAGATAGATTAATACACACCGCAAGAGAAGAGGGAAATAGAAATGACAGCAAACCATACATGATATGTGAGACAACTTTAAGTAGCGCAAGTAATTTTTATTGTCAATACTCCACACAAAAATCGGCATTAACGGCAAATTCGTTTTTAAATTAGTATAAATTGAATGCAATTTTGAAATAAATTAAATTAAAAATCCCCATATTTTATGCAATTAAGTAAGATAAAATTAATGATAGTTATTTTACTGAACCGCTTTGGGAAATTTTTGGTTTCTGTTTATAATGAGTTAAGTTTTAGTCACAACAGTTCATGTTTCAGGTAAGCTAGGAGCTTAGGATAAAATTATTTTCGTTTTCATGGTTTTCAACATCATTAAATTTATTTTAACAGGTCCATAATTGACATCATTTTTAAATGTAAAATTATTAAATAAATTTAAAAAAAAAATGAATAATAATGTAATTTTAGATTAAAGAGTTATTGATAAAAAAAATAATTTTTAATTCATTTATTATTATTAATATTATTTTAATATATTTGCTTCACTTAATTTTTTTTACCTAATTCTGAGTGTTGTGTATTATGTTTAGTACAATACAAATTATGGCTCCGTAATATTTTTATAATTTTGCTTTCTGCTATAATTTATCCACTTTATATCAGCAAAGCATTGCTTCACTTTTCTTCATTATCAAAAAGCTTATAACGAAGGATTTAAAAAGTATCTGTTTAAAATACTTTTTAAGAAAAAACTTAAACTTATAACTTTTAACAGCACCAATTCTTTCCGCATAATAAAAAAATATATATTATAACCCAGCCGAAAAGATACATTTATTTTCGTGAGAAAAAATGTGACGACAAAGAGCATAAAAAGTCGAATTCCAGTATATTAGCGCCATGTGAGGAGAGGCGCGCGGAGAAGTTTTGGTTTCTTGTGAGAATGTTGTGTGGCACACAAAAGGAATAAAAAATCTCCTCTGCCCCCTCCGCGCCGCGTTTTCTCGGTCGTGGAAGGAGAGAAGCTAAGAAAGAAAGAGAAGATCTGATGTGGACCAGCAACGAAGAAACTTCAGGTACAAGGCTACCTAGGACAACAGTTGTAAATTTTGAAATGAAAATTTTCTATAGAAAAAGGGGCCAATTGTGATGAGTTTCCAAAAGAAATTTGTGCGCGCAAACGTTCCGAAAGTAAAAAAATCGTGAAATTAAATTTGAAAATTCCCATTGTTATTTGCCATTGTGCACAGCACTGAGGCTGCGTGTGCGATGCCTGGCGGGTGAAAGACGAATTAAAGAGCAAGGACGTCGCATTTAAAGGGACGATTTTACGAAAATATCGATTTGTGAATCACGAAAATATTTCCAAAATTAAGGGTGACGGCCAAAAAAGCAGCATAATTTACCGCACAATTTGAAGCTAAAAAAAGAGGATACACTTCAGCTCAGGGTCGCTAGGTACATCAAATCAGATTTTTTTTTAATAAAAAGTACAAATATCTATGTTTCTATTGCTTACAAGTCCGTTTGCAGACAACTCCTTTTGTGGGCAACTACGTTGTGGGTTTGCGAGCTTCGGGCTGGAGGCGCGCTCGCCCGAGGACGTGGTGAAGGCCGGCTCCGGGCGGGACAAAAGGGCGGGGATCGTGGGGAGGCTCCTGCGGAGCCCCCCCACGAACACAGCCGCCCTTTTGTCCTCGCCCTCCGCACGGCCTTCCCCACGTCCTCGACCTCGCTGCGCCTCCACCCCTCGCTCGCGGCTTCTGCAAAAATTAATCTTGGGGGTTGCCCAACTCCGAGTTGCCGGTTTGTGGGGTGGTCTGGTTCGTGGTGTGCGTGCAATTTCCCCTCACGTGGGATTTTGCAAAAATCAATTAATTCAAAATTCAGTCAGGAATGTAGAGTACCCAAAAATATCGCCCTTAAATGCCTTAAATCGATAAAATTGTCCCATTTTTATGCTAGTTCATTAATACACTACATGTGGCGTGACGGTTTTTTAAGAGGAAACTCCCGTCTAGGTGGCGTTTTTACATCTGTATGCATTAAAAGTAGTTTTAATAAACGCCTAATTTTATTTCAACTCTCATTACTTCCCATTTCATTTGCGCCGGCTTTTCCTTATTGAGAAATGTTCAGCACACTATGAGGAATGTTTTGATATAAAAAATTTCATATTGACAACTGTTGTCCTCAATGAACTTCTGCCGAAACTTCATTCCGTTGGCCTCCGAGGCCGCTGCTTGTTTGGAGCCGGCCGGATTATCTTGCCTTTCCCATCGCAGCTAGTTAGTCTCGAGTTAGTCGGTCGGTGCACGAGCAGGCAACAGAAACGGAGCGCACTGTTTTCTCAGGTGCGACACGACACAAGGGCATTCTTCTGCTCGCGGCTCACCCGCGGACTGGGCGCGCGATGCCGACAAAACTGTTGGCCAAAGAAAATTCAAACGCGGTTTGACACCCTTATACTGCAACAGGTGCATTTGCCTCATCAACCTGGACGATGGGGTCTTTGCAAGGAGGATGACCTGCTCCAAAGTGAGTATCGCAAGCCCTGGGAATTTTTTTTAATTATATTGTTCTAATTGTTCTTCAGGAATATAGTGAATTTGTGATTTTTTTTTACGGAAAAGCTTTAAGAGTTAATTCTGACAACTGGAAGCACAGTATAAATAAATCATCTTAATTGATGCTTTAATTCTAGACAGTTTTAGGCAATTAAGTTACTATATTAAAATTATAAATCCTAAAAAAAAAACAATATTCATCAAAAAGTCCAATCAACTGAGAATATTAACAGCAATTTACAAAAATATATATATATATATATATATATATATATATATATATATATATATATATATATATATATATATATATATATATATATATATATATATATATATATATATATATATATATATATATATATATTTAAATAATAATGAATTTGAAAAAATTATGTTTGCCTCAAAAATATTGTTAAAAGTATAAATTTAAAGATTAAAATATAAAATACGATGTATATAATTATGTAATTATTTAATTTAATAACAATGTTTTAAAAATAAATTATAAAATTTATTATGGATTTATTGTTATTTAATTAGTATTTAATTTAGATTCCAATGCTAATATAAAAACGTTAATGCATTTGTATCAGATTAAAATAATATAAATCACAGGATATGAACTAATATATCTGATATATTTAAAATAACAATTTGATTAATTTAATTAGTTTTCTAGATTACAATTGAAAGCCGAGTTTATTTATTTATTTGAAAATGTAGCAAGGTCTAAAGAAAATACGAGAATCTCAAATCTTCTTGATTCCCGCAGACCAATTACGGCAGATGAATTTGCGAAAAATTATCTTCCTCGATTTCGGAGCGCCGGTTTATTTGACGGCGCGTTCGCGATGTGAAAAATCAGGCGCGTGATATTTGAGCGCTTTTCGCACACACGTATGTATGCGAGGCTAAGGCGGTTGGTTGGGGGGTTTTGACAGCGCAGCTAACAAGGGCCACGCGTGGACCATCAAGGTCGCCCCCCGGTACCCCCGCCTTAACTGGCCGCAAAATACGGCGCGCTTTTCTTTCTTTTTGTTATATACCTGCCCGCTGCAGTATCGAGCAAAGAAGGCCCGTCGTATTTTGTGTGTATTTGTGGGCGGCATTCGCGTATAAATATATTTTTTGCAAGCTCAGCAAGCACTCTTCGCGCTTTTTTGTATGCGTCACGCTGGGAAAAAGCTCCTTTGCCCCTTGGATTTAGCGCGCGGCACACCGCAAAGCCCGACCCTTGCCGGCCTTGCCTCGTTCTGCATTGTCCGACACATTTTCGCGCCTCTCCCCTCGCTGGCATTTTCCTTTTGCCACGCATTTATTTTTATTTTGCAAATAACTGAGGTCAAAATCTGGCAAATGGACGCGATCACAAGTTTTTTTTTTTTTAAATCTAAGAAGATGAATAGCAATTAAAAATTAAGAAGGATAACATTATTTTTTTCGAATAAAAAATTGAAAGACTTAGATTTGTGCAGGGTTGAATTTTAAGATCTTTAGATCTTTGCTAGGTGGTTAGTAAGTAAAATTTAGAATGCATGCGGGTTACTTGCCCAGTAATTAAATAAAAGAAAGTTAAAAAATATTTAATTATTTAGTAAAATTAACAATAAGTATGTAACAAATAATAAAGTATTTGATTTCAAGTTAATAAAATCCACGCCGAAAATATTTCACCTTTAGTTGATTTTGTTAATTTAAGGGAAAATTCATTAAAAATGCCAAGAATTTGGATATTAGTGATTTCACATCGGAAAAAGCTATGCTATAAGCAGCTATAAGTAATAGTATTATTTATAATTGATCATATACGATCAATATATTATGATGAATTTAATAAATTAAGTCAATTCCTCGCATACTGCACGATATACATATGATAATTCTTTATTGATACAAATTTCATTTTCAAAAATAAATGAGGTCAAGTTATAAGCCTCCCATGTGAGTGACCATTAAAAAGACATCAAATCGAAAAGTCATTATAAATCCCACACAGTTCCGACTCAGTTTAATGATAATAATCATAATAATGCAGCCAATAATTACAGAGATAATGACTTCTGTCCAGAAATACAATTATTTTAACCACTGATAATGTTGTGCTGGACCACCCAAAAATGAAATTTTTGAACATGTCATATTTGATGACCGCAAAAAATAATAGGCAGGCTCAGCTCTTATTCCGGGAACTTTGTGTCGCTTTACACAGTGCTTGTCGGATTGACGGGTTGCATAATTCACAGGCGGTGGTGCCAGGATGAGCGATGCCCCAGAGGCTTGGCCGGCAGCTCACCAGCCGGCAATTAGCTGGAGCGGATCCTCCTCGACCGCAGCAGCCCCTCTTCCAGCAGCCGTCGCAGCTTCCGCAGCCGCCCGCCAGCATCAGGTAATTAAAAATCAATGGATGAGCTGCTCTCACGTGTGTCTGCACTCTCGCTATTCCGATCACAGCCTGAGCCGGATCAAAGCCAAACTGAATAATTATATCAGAGAGCATTTTTTGTGTGATACATACGTGCGCTTGCTTGTTCGTTGACCGCGAAAAAAAAACACGCACGCTGGATTTTGGATAATTCCTCGTGCTGTTGTGGCATTCTACATGGTATAAAAATAGAAAATTAAATATTTTGGTGTATCTTTTGATGTTTTGGTCTCGATCACCAATCGTTTACATTACTAATGGTTTTGAAAGCTATTCCTAGCTGCAGAGATACAAGAAGTGACGTTTTGACGTTTATGAACAATCACATGAGAAATGACAAAAAAACTTCATTCAATTAAAGAATCGATAATATTTTTAGCAATTAAAAATATAAATAAATATATGTTATATGTAATTTTTTTTTTACTTAATTACAATTATTGTCGCAAGTAATTTAATAGTTTATTAGTAATTATGATAGTAATTGACAAATTAAAAAATTTAATGAATTTAAACTATGCAACTGTAGGTTTTCTTATTAATCTCCTTCATTAATTAGGCATTTTAGAGTGAAAAGTTTCATATCTCAATACCAGAAATTTTTGTTTAATAAAAGATTCATGCAAAAAGTTCAAAAATAAATTAAATAATGTGTAATGTGCTTTAAATAGTTGATTGATACCATTAACTTTTATTTGATTTTAATGCCATTTTAATCAAATTAAGCATTTTTTTTTCTTGATACTCTATAGAAGTAAAAATTCTCCTTAATTGAATTTAATTCTATTAATTTTTTTTATGCCTGCTTTTATTTTCCGTTATAAATCTAAAACTGGAAAGATTTGACTGCTGGTATTTTCGCAGTGTCAATATTTGCGTAAATCATGTGTATTTTGGCGCACATCTCTTGTGTCAACCAACCTCACGCATATTTGCTGTTGCGATCAGGAACCCTTGGGCCGGCGGTGCAGACTCGGACCACGGCACCTCGTCCTCAGCCTCCGTGCCTCCACCGCGGCCACAGCGACAAATCCGCACCCGCTCCAATTCGATCGGCAGCACAGCCTCGTCGAGAACCGCCTCGCGAAACCTTGGAGCCCCAGGTACGTTTCGACTTTTTCTCTGTTTTCTTCCCCTTTCATGTTGATATGGTTTTGCGCGAGTTGGCCGCCTGCCTGCCCGCCTTATCTTTCGTGACAAAAAATGTTTTTCTCGCTGCGGCGGCGGCGGCGGCAAGGGGCTAATTCAATAGATTGTGGGGGCGATAAGGGCCATCCAAGTCAAGTGTCGCGATGAGCACCAGTAGCGCGCGCGGTGCCGCCGACGCGTGATATGACCTACAATCCATACCTCATCTGCTGTCGCCAAGGTTTGAATCTGTCAGTTCTTTATATTATGTGATCGTTTCGATTTTTTCTTCTTTCACTTACGTAACAAACAGTGTATTTCTACATGTAGAAGTAGTAATAAAATTCCACAAACCAAATGATTTAGCTGTGAAAATTATTTCTGAAAAATTAATTTCAATCAGAGAGATATGGACGAATTTTTATTAGATATTATGTTATGCATAGAATTTTTAGGATGATATATATTTTAAATATAAATGAAAATAAATGGTATTTTGGCTTTCAAATCAAAGTTATATATATATACGATAAATTGATATTGTAAGAAAGAAGAATAAATTTGTTATTTTGTAAAGTATTGCAATCGACAAAAGTTACAATAAAATTACAAGTTCCGTGATTTTCAATAAAAACTTATTTTTTACATTATTGGCACAAAATTTGAAAGAATTTTGGTAGAAAAATGCACATTGAATAGAGTAAATTTAATCTCAAATTATTTTCAAAATATAATTTTATTATATTTTTATTAATAAATATTAATTAAAATAAATAATATTGGTCTGCATTATGGTTTAATATTTTATAATCAATTGTATTTGATCGCTACCTACAATTGATATGAATGTAATTATCACAACCCAATAATATTTTCAGCAAATTATATATTTATCAATGGTATTTATTTTTGAACCTTTATTGTTTTCATTAGGTTGCTGCTCCCCAGGGGCGCAGCTCGTGTGCCACTATTGTCTACGGGCAGCCCTTCTTTGCTGCCTGCTGTGCGGCGGCGCCCTTGCCGTGGCCGGCGCCATCCTCCAGCGCCATGACCACGAGGACCTGGGAGTGCTGCTGTACATTGGGGTGCTGGCCGCGCTCGTCTCGCTCGTCCTGCTCATTGTCCAGTGGCGCTCGCACCGGCCGCCGCGCCTACGGCCCCGCGGCCCCCAAGTGCCCATCGAGGAGGCCGTCCCTTTGCAGGAGTTGCGGCAGCAGCAGATCGTTTACATGCCTCATCAGCAGACCAGCGTCGCCGGTCACGCACCCTGGCAGGGCATTAACCCCTACCAATATCAGCATGGCCTCTCCATACCTCAGCAAAGTGCCAGGTAAATTAAATTGAAAAAAAAATAAGACTGGCATGTAGATAAGGAGAAATATTGGAACAATTAGTATGCAAGTGATTGATTAATAGTACATATTATACAAAACGATCGATAAGATTAAGATACAGCAGGAATACAAAAGAAGGGTATTAGATGAAATAAAGTTATTTGATCATTGAAAATTATGCAATTGAAAAATGACTCTATGAAAAAAATAAAATATAGTAATAAAAATGGTTATAAGTAGAGGTAAATAATTGGGTTGAAAACTTGGAGCTGTATGAAAATTGTATATTTTTTTTCACTATTTTCAAAAATTGAGAAAAAAATGATACAAAGTTATTTGTTAAATAAGAACATCCGTCATTTTTGTCGGCGCGCGTGATTTGTTAACTTGCGGTTGCACGTTGATTCAGGTCATTCCCCTTTTGTTTTATATTTTTGTTAGCGAACGCAGCGCTGATGGAAATTTTCTTAGTGTTTTTTTTTCTAAGAAACCGCGATCAATCTTTTTGAAAGAATATATTCCATCGATCGACGTATCAGTCTGGATAAACACATTTAATCACTGACTGTTATTTCTCTCTGATGGGAACCAGCAGCCGCGCTGGTGCAGTTCTGTGATGCCTATGGCAGCCAAAGTAAAAAATGATTAAGTCTCGCAGACTTGCAATCCCCATTAATAATGTATGAAGTTTGTTTTCTCTCTTGTCTCTCGTTGTGTGTCATGTGACAAACGGACAAAATATCCTTGGCATGTGACAGAGAAAGTCGAGCGATGCGTCACGAGAGCCTCAATGACACGAGTAGAGGCGCTCCACACTTAACTATTTTTTAATATTACAAATATTTCGTTTAAAAGTGAGAAAAGTATTATGGGAGATGTTGCTCACCCAATCTAAAATTTTAAACAAATTAAAAAAAAATATTTTGCAATATTTCTTTAAATTTAAAGACGTATGCAAAAGTTTTAACAAATTTGTTCAATAATGAAAATTTATAATTTTTAATTATTATTATCATTGTTTATTCTTCACAAGTAGTCATACATGAAAGCGAGAAAAAAAATGTGAAGAAACGGCAGCACCTCTGGCGAACACGTCGCTAAAACGCGAATCCTCAAGAGAGGTCCGCGCCGAGATGGGCCGCAAGCTAATTAATTATTACAAATAAAGAGAATCACTAAAATTGCTTTTAAATACCAAACAATTATTTTTCAATCAAGGAATTAAAAAATTTATGTTTGGAACTTCTTCATGGGGCAAAAATTGATTTAAAATTGTTCTTTTGCTGCTCCCATTTTCAGAGTTGAGTAGCTCCATTCATTATTGATAAATAAAAGTTATTTTAATTTTCTTGTTCATTGGTTTCCAACTCAAATTTCTAATCAAATTTTGTGGACCAGGTCTGAGGACATGCTGTCAATGGCAGGAGAATCATCACGGATGGCTGGCCGAGCAAACAGGCCTGCGTCAATCGCCATGGTGCCCGCGGCCGCCAGATTAGAAAACCCGGCGCATCCACCAATGTGGTGGCGACCGCACCAACAGCCTCGTCCTCCAGTGCCCACCAAACCTATTTACCAAATGAATCAGAACCCCTCTTGACCACGCGCTATTGTGGCCCATATGTTGACTTGACTGAGTGTAAATATTAATTATATCGATTGTACTACATGTTGTAAAATTTGTAAATATTTTACTATATTGCTACTTTTATTTGTGTAAAAGCTAAAGTGAAATTAAAAATTATGAAAGTCTATAAACAAACTTTTTTGTACATATGGTGTGTATATTTTCTGAGAATTATGAAATGCACATTTAGGACAGAGTTTTACAAGGAGATAAATATACAAGTTTGATTTCACGCGGTACACATAAATATATTGTTGGCGATTTTTAAAATAGTCATTTTGTCAAATATATTCCTTTGAAATAACACAATTTGTTGACTACAATGAGGAATTAAAAATATAGGACAAGTTGCATTGCTAAAAGAAGCAAAATTTCTAATTCGCTAAATTAACGCTATAAATATAGTGTCTTTCTTTGCATAAAACTTCGTTTAAAGGAACTGATTTGGAAATTCAATCATAGTTGGGTGGATCCAGGAATGATTTGGGTGTGATTGTTGATGAAAAGTTACCATTTTGAAATTCATGTATGTTGTTGGGGTTGGAAAAAGGTGCTTCCTCCTAAATTTTCAGCTAAAAATATTGGGTGCTTTTCCGGGAAATCAGATTTTTCCAAAAACACTAAAATACCAATATCTCTGCTCCTACTATAAATAAACGTATGCTCTTTTCACGTTCAGACGTAACTTTTTACGCCCGACAACTTTGCCACTGACAAATTTTGCATAGGTCAAAGGTCAAGGTCACTAAATTACAAATTTCACTTTTAAACGCAATTTTCGCAAAGAAGCACCCCTCAGATTTTTTTTGCAGTATAGGAAAAAATGTAGCCCCGAGTGTGTAGAACAAAATACTTGATTTTCAGAATGGTAACTTTTACTGTTAAATTTATAATACTAACTAAATATTAAAAAACAGTAAAAAATCGCTTTTCCGCAATAGAAATTAATTTTCAACCAGCGATAACTCTGTTTCTGTTACAGAAACGACAAAATGTATAATGACAAAAAGTGTTTGTCTTGACTTTTTGCATCCAACCATGTATCAGTCAAGAAGGTCAGGTCACCTAAGGTCATTGACCTCGGTGACCTGTGACCTTTAAACACGATTTTGCAAGTTTTCTGTGTAGGAAATAATAAAACCCATTTAAATTTTGAAAAATAATTTCAAAAATTAGCAAAATCGTGTTTAAAGGTCACAGGTCACCGAGGTCAATGACCTTAGGTGACCCGACCTTCTTGACTGATACATGGTTGGATGCAAAAAGTCAAGACAAACACTTTTTGTCATTACACATTTTGTCGTTTCTGTAACAGAAACAGAGTTATCGCTGGTTGAAAATTAATTTCTATTGCGGAAAAGCGATTTTTTACTGTTTTTTAATATTTAGTTAGTATTATAAATTAAACAGTAAAAGTTACCATTCTGAAAATCAGGTATTTTGTTCTACACACTTGGGGCTACATTTTTTCCTATACTGCAAAAAAAATCTGAGGGGTGCTTCTTTGCGTAAATTGCGTTTAAAAGTGAAATTTGTAATTTAGTGACCTTGACCTTTGACCTATGCAAAATTTGTCAGTGGCAAAGTTGTCGGGCGTAAAAAGTTACGTCTGAACGTGAAAAGAGCATACGTTTATTCTTAGTAGGAGCAGAGATATTGGTATTTTAGTGTTTTTGGAAAAATCTGATTTCCCGGAAAAGCACCCAATATTTTTAGCTGAAAATTTAGGAGGAAGCACCTTTTTCCAACCCCAACAACATACATGAATTTCAAAATGGTAACTTTTCATCAACAATCACACCCAAATCATTCCTGGATCCACCCAGTTATTATATGTAGAGCCTGTCAAATTTTTAAACACACTAGCACGATATCTTAGAAATGCTTGTCACAGAATAATAAACGAGGCTTGAACTAAAATTAAAAAGATGAAAGAACATGTAATGACTTTCAGGCTGAAGGGTTGAAAAATATTCAGCCCTATGCAGACCACTTTAGAATGGCGAGTTCATACCCAGCTTTGTACCAAATTCGAGGCGTGCCTTCTTTTGTTGTCTCACGCTTGCTCTAATTGTAAGAAAAAAATCTTTAGTTGTTAGCGCTTCACTGATAATTTCAACACTTACTTAATCTCTTGAAGTTTGACAAGCTCGTTGATTAGGAATACGACAAATGGGGATATGGCGGCTAACAGGTAGATGGGCCATGGCACTTGCTGAAGACCTGGAGGCAAGTCTTCGTCCTCGGTAGCCAATCGGGGTCCCATAGCAATGGCAGAAAATGCAAATTGTAGTAATGTCCTAGAGACAAAGAAAATAATTTCTCCAATAAACAAAGATAAAATCTTAAAACTTACAAAAGGAGGACTGAAAGACCCCATAAACGGTTGCGCAAAGGATTTTCTCTCCAGATTGGACTGTCCCTGTGGACAAAGCTGATTGAAATCACAATGAGGTGGATGACCCACAGCAAGCAGGTGGCATGCTGAAGGGCGGTGAGCGAAGACAGATTTGTGCCCCATCCTTGCCAAAGGACGCTCTCTGTTCGGTTCAGAGACACTTCTGGGTAAACTAGGGAGCAGATTTCCACTCCATTTAGGAGGGGACACAGCTTTGATAAGGCAGCCGTGTACAGGCTTAGCAGCACGATGCCAGCAGGGATGAATTTACTTCCGTAAAACCACGCAACAAAAAATATTGTCTGAAATATAAAGATAATTTATTATGAAAGGAGGACAAAAGTTATTTTTATACAGCCTTACATCGGTATTTATCAGAAATTGATTTTTTCCTGTAGCTCGTTGCATGATTTGTGTGTCAGTTGGCTTTCCAATTAAGGACAGTGCTAGGATAGGGATCACAACGCACTGGAGCCACAAAATTTGGCCTAAATTTTTTGTTTTGTTTGTTAGATAAAATAGGGCTAAATATATTTCTGGAACATACCAATAGTGAAAAGTGGCGGAAGAAGACTGACGATTGCTACAACCTGGATAATGCTAACTGCAACACTTGAGCTCAACCAAAATTGAAGGCAGTTAGTCAAACACTGCATGTAATGCCGGCACTGCAATTTTAAAATAGAATTTCAGCAACATGTGAAAAATATCTCAATTATTAAATCAATTACCTCCATAATAAGGTGAAATATTGAAATAGGTTCTTCTCTGATAAAGCTCACTGAACACGAGACCGAGTTCAATATCCGACTCAACTCGATCGGGGATATTCCATCTTTAAGAGTGGTGTACGGTGAAAAAACAGATATTCGTTGGCAAACTTGTGGATAAAGTGGTTCAACTGCCATACTAGAATTTTTGAACAGAAATAATTAAACTTATTAAACAAGAGTAAAAAATTAAAAACCTAGCGTCTGCTTGCATGAAAATTGGCATGTTGTCTGCATTTGCTGAACTGCCCATGGCACACACAACTTCGCCATGCTCTTGCATAATTGACAGCATCTCCCGAGTAGCCATTGGGGTGCAGTCAGTGAAGAGGGAAACCAACAGGGGAACATTGTCAATGTGTCTCAAGTGAGGTCGAATATTCTCAATACCCCTGGGTAATTTTGCCTGAACAAAAAGATGTTGCGATAATTTTTGCTCTATTCTGCCAAATGGTGTCTACATACCCTGTTGGACATGTCAAAATTGACAGGTGCACTCTGCTCTGTCGAGTCCGTGAGAACAGACAGCGACCGACAAGGGTCTGGCTGCGAAGTCAGATCGACGCTTTGCACAAACATGCTGTCTTTGCTGCCTTTCTTGTCACTCATTATAGTATCCCTTCTTAGGGCATTTCCGTCAGAGGGTTTGTTCAAGTCCTCGGCGTCGAATTTCACTTGGTAAAAGTCTAAATTGATTGCGCTAGGGGCGGATAGGCTCATGGTTTTTGTTTCTTCACCTAGTGGCCTAGAAATATTAACATTTTAATTGTTTGCAAATATGGTAACAAATAAATTAATGGAAATAATAATTTATAGAATGGAAGAAAGAAAAGAGAATGTGTATGTAGGAGAAAGAAACTAAAATAATTGAAGTGGTGAGTCAGAACACAAAAATTATGATAAATAATGAATATATGCAATAAAAAGTTGTAAATAATTAATTTAAGTGTTCCTAGAGTGAACCTGATCAATATCCTAACTCCCACCAAAATTCCAAGTAAAATAATTAAAATACATTAATGCATCTCTGGACGAAGGATACAGATTTTCAACAAGGATGGTACATAACGAGGGCAGAGTGAGAAAAGGCTGAACCAAAATGAAAATTAAAAAAGATTAAAGAAGGTAGTAAACATAATTTGTACAAGGGTGCAGGTTTGTCGCAGAAATATTGTTGGTCATGCAGTTAATTTTTACAGAAATAATATACAATAATCAGTTCAAAAAATCTTGCCTTTCGCGAATTAGACTTTCAGTTTCGGTTTCTTCGATGGTGGATTCGTGTCTCTTTCGAGGTGGGGTGGGAGCATAACGAGGAAGACTAGTGTGAGACGAGTCTCTAGGGGTGGGACCACTAGTAGACTGCAAGTTAACCGCACTTGGCGAGTTATGCCAACTACCGGAGTTTCCACTCTCGGAACTGTTGAATAAGCAACAAACTTTGTTTTTCTCATACGCAAAGTGAACTGCCCGACGGAAGTTCAGTCAATTTGTTAACAATATCGATTCAAACAGTTAGAAGGAACAGCAAAAAATCAAATGCAAGTGATTGCAATTTTAATGCTTACCCTGCCCGTTCACTCAAAAGGGAAATGTGGCAATTCCACCCACTTTCAAGACCCATTTTCTCTGAAAATACTCTGGACCGCAGTTCATTTTCTTTGCTGAAGTGTACAAATCTAATGCATGCCCGCTCCAGCTGCTCGATTAGTTGCACCTGTTTAATGATTTATTTTATTTAAATATATTTTGGTGTTGATTCACAATTATTTTTTTAATTACCATGTCCGTCTGGGCCTGATATTGCATGGTGACCATTCCGACAAAAACCTGATTGCACTGCAATTGGAAACAGTCATCTGCTCTTGAGAGCTGCAAAAGCTTTCATAAAAAATGTGAGGATAAAAAATAAAGGTGGATTTTAACCTGTTTTGGAATGGACTCGACCGACTTGACACTCGAGGCACAGTCGAGTGAAGTTTCTGTGTGATGAGCATGTGTTGCATACAAAGATTTGCTATCTGACGGAAGCTCCAGGTACATGTGGGACAGGTGTGTGTCAGGAGCTCTGGTCAACGGCCGATAAGCAAATGCAGTGCAGTAGGCTGTTAAACTCGTCCTCTGATAAAAATCCTGAACCTTTCGCCTAACATTGAATTAGAAAATTAATCTTCTTCTCGTTGGTTTTGTTTTAAAATAATGAAAGGTGCTCAGCAGAATATAAAAGAAGGTATAAAAGGTGATTGCTACTAATAAATTTATAGTAATTTAGTGGCGCAGTGTGTGTTCCAAGTACGAAGCTAGGTTAATTAATTATTTGCAAAAAAGCACGCTTTAGAGAAGAAATAAGTTGTCTGTGTGTTACCGTAAAGTCCTGATAGTTTGTGTAGAATCAATAAAAGTACACAATATTTACAGATTTTTACATTATTGTAAGTACTTGCCTGTCGCTTTGGGACAGGGTGCACAAGTCCCGTCCGTCCCAAAACTCTTCACAAGAGTCTAGAATAATATCAGCTGTTCCTTGGGACAAAAGCTGCAGGTTTCCACCGTGATTTTCCTTGACAACCACAGCCACCATGTGAGGAAAAGGAAACTTGAGTTTGGCTAGAGAGAGTGACCTAGCAAATTTAATGTCTCTTCGAACTGTTTCCGGCTGCTAAAGTAAAAAGAATAAAAATTCTGAAAGTTATATTTTTACATTAACAGCTTACAACGTGTCTGAAGGTTGAGAGCTGCTGTTCCAGCGAAAAAGCCTCCTGGGCTTGCTCTTGGAATCCAATTTGTTTGGCCAATTCGCAGAGGCACCTGCAAGAAGTATGTGGCCATAAGAAAAAAACTTTCAGGCGCAGTGGAAACACATTTTGTCAAAGAATCAAGCACCTAAAAACAAAGCAGCCGTAGAAGCTTGTGCAGAAGCTTGCTCAAAGCAGCTAAGAAACCACCATCCGTGCAAAGATACAGAATTATTTGTTGGCGCTCTTTTTTTAAATATCAATAAAATTCCAACCTTTGGAATTTTAAATTGTACACGATATTTACAAATATTAAAATCCTGGATCCGAAACCTAGAGTGACGGAAAAATTCAATTCATATTTTAAAAAATAACAAAATTAAAAACAAAACTGGATATCGGAGGGGAAGAACTCAATAACGAAAATGATTTACAGAAAATATAACCATCTTTTGATTTTTAATTATGACCCAGTATTTTGAAGCACGCTGTGTCAAAATTGGGCTTGTAATGTTAATTTCCAGCTTTAATGAGCAAATCCTAGACTACACTAAGAATGAAGTGAAGAAGTTTCGAGACTAGGTTCCTCTATTTGAAAGAGATAAAAATGATAAATTGCCAATCCGAAGAAAAAATAAATAAAATGTGCAAGTTCAATTTATAACAGACGTTTTGTACAAACATGTCAGGTAATTGTCAACAAAGTGGATTGGCAGTTTTCGCATGGGTGGATGGATGTTTTCAAGGGTCAGGTACAGAAAACAACCGTGCAAAAATTTCCTGCACTCACCCGTGTATTCTTAAAACATCACCATGGAATTTGAAAACAGAAAAGAGACATCTTCAAATTGTTATAAATCCAACAAGGCACAATAAGAAAAGTTAGTCATGGTGGTTAGTCTGATGCAACTCTTGTTTTAATAAAAAATAAAAAGGAAAATTCAGCAAAGCAGACAAATAAAAAATACAAAAATATTGTATTATATACCAAATCAGAGATAAAAACGACCAGGGTTGAAAAGTTACATTAAAAAAGGGGTAAAATAAAGCTGCGACTTCTCCCGAACACCTTGGCTGAAAATTGGCCACCAAATAGCAAAACCTTCTCATCAAAAAATGCAAAACCAGCGTGGGAAGGTAAAGGACGGAATGAGAAGAGTGGGTGTCGAGAAATCATTACTTATTGGTGCCTGGAAGGACAGTCATCTCTCCTGTGTATTTAGGGTGCCTGGACGTGACAGTTCCATTATTGAAAATTATAAAAAAAAAATATGAAAAAAAATTTTATATAATGAAAAAAAATTTTAATAAGTCAAAAACACTAATTGAAGCTCTTGATTTACTCAATCCACGGTGGAAGCGAGAAAAAATATAGCAAACCTCCGATTGGTGACAGGCACGAGGTGCTCAGAATGCATCGCTTCACAGGTTACATGTGAGCAAAACTGAGTATAGTGTTCCTGGGTAGACATGTTGCAAGTGTTCAGCAAGATGGAAAGACCAAGAGGCTTTAACGAGTTGAGGTGCTTCCGCCAGCTGGGGTCATCAAAGTGCAGTCGGAAAGGACTGGAATGGTCGTGAGTGAGGTCAAGAACTTCTGCAACTGTTTGTGGGGTGTGTCTGGCACTTTCCAACTCTACAGATCAAAATGTTAAGAATTAGATCGCAACAAACTATTGAAAACCTGAATTTGAAAATATCTATTATATTTAAAAATTTAATATCTCAACAAATTATTCATTTACACAGCACTAACAAAAATGAGTACTCTTTCTTTTTAAATAACGTAATTTATCATTCTGCTGTGTCGCATTCATGGAATATTGATTCTTCTTGTATATAATTCAAATTAGTCCTGTTCCAAGAAAATTATCTTTTTTATTAAATATTTCAAAAGGTAGGTTTAAATAATCGTTATGTTAAATGACAAAATAATAATGTTTGGTATTGGGTGTGTCTGGCACTTCCCGATGCTACGAATAAAAAAATTGAAAACTATTTACCGCCATAAATAAAAAGCCTACCTTCTGGGTCAAGAGTCTCTGTTTGGATCTCCTTGGCATTCACTTTTGCATCTTGCTCTATTACTTTAGAAACCTTCTCTGTTTCTTTTCCTTTTGATGACTCTTTGGAATTTTCAGAATTTCCATCTTGCTCTTCTTCAGCTGTTGTTTTTTCACTTTCCTCTTTCTTCAAGCTCTCGTTGCTATTAGTAATATAATCAACATCTGCAGCTAAAAAAAATTTAATAAAATTTTTACCTGGATGAACAACTGGCCTTCGAGGAGCTTCTGAGGAAAAAAACTTTTTCAGCAGTAGGATTTGGCCATGACAAGATGCCTTTTTTGTCCACGCAACATAAGGCCTAGGATTAGGAGCAATTAATTTTGTGCAAATTAAACACTCTTGAAAGAATTACAGTGACAGAACCCAAAACATGGAGTAAATTGGCCGATCTACATGGCATCCCACTCTGACCACGTAAGCAGGCCACAAATAGTGGCCAACGCTCTCTCCAAGTGATGTACGGCCGAAGTTCATCTTCCGATTCGTCAAACGGATCTGCTGCAACCTGAAGACAAGTTTTGTGTCACAAATCTTCGAATATTTTCCAATCACAATAGAATTTCAAATACATTCACCGCCATACCTTGCTTTAAAAAAAAAAGAAAAATACAGAATACAGATACATAAATCTTGCTGGTGCAAAAATTAGAAAAAAAAGTTAAAAAACTCTCAGTGTCATAATTTTGTTTTATATTAATAAATTATTTTTCAAATAAAGACATATTTACTGCATATTTATGTTTCGCTGAAATTTGTGTGAAATCAATGTCAGCACAGCATGCAGTGCAAAACAAAAATTATATTTTTTTCATGCTCCACCAACAAAAAGTGCACAAAGTACATGGATCAAAACAAAATTTTAAAATTCACAAACCCCACAAGGGCTGTGCGTTGACACTTCAGTTTTCCATTCTGCATTAAATGCTCCCTATAAAGTTAATCGTCAATATTAGGTTAATATTTTTTTTCTGGCATTTAGAAAAAAATCTTCAAAATTAAGGGAGCGGCTTCCTACATATCATGTAAAATCGATTAAAAAAATAAAAAATTTGCAATACCTCCGTTCCTCTCGACTTTTGGAAAAGCGACTGAATCTGCGCAACACCCATGCAGTTCAAAATGGTCCACGAAAGAGGAAATATCAATGGTAGCAGCGGAAGACAAACAGCCACTGGCTGGATGAGGAACATTTCCGTCCAGTGACCGGAACCAATCCAGGGTTCCAAATAGAAGTATCTCAAAAGTCCCATGAAGAAAACAAGTACCTGTGAACGAATCAATTTATGAAATGCTTTCTTTTTGTTGATGAAATTATAAAAAAAAGAGTACCAAAAATATGGGGATGAAGAATTTTTCTGATATAGTACTCATGAGCAGGTGCTTCAGTTTATTATGGTAGGAATCAGGACGCGTCAGGGCGCTGTCCAACGCAAGTTTAAGGTTGGTCAGGTACGGCGTTTCCTGGAGAATGTAACGCTTGCTTTGAAGAGGGCGCCTGATTTTAGGTGTTGTCAACTCATCTTCTTCTTCAGCTGGCGAGTTTTTCACTTTAGGTGAGTAGACTTCTCTGGCTTGTAGGTCAGGGGAGTCGGGGTCACCCTGAATTTTAATGCTCAATAAAAAAATTTAAAACTTTTTGAAACCTTACGTCAGCTGGAGTGCAGAGGCCAGGTGCCTGCTGGCCTGGCCGCATCTCGACCAAATCTCCTTTGACCAGCAAAGCCCAGGGCAAGTTGATGATTTTACCATCTCTGATGGTCCACTGAAGGGTAATGCAAGGCGAGTAAGGACAGCACAGCTGAGGAAAGTGATTTTCCTTCCAGTCATCTGAATCAATACAGTCTGCCAAGCAAAAAACAAATTTAACAAATACAAATTAAACCTATCCTTTTAAATACTTTGAACTTGATCCAGCAGAGACCGGATCTGCTGAGGGATTTCCATGTGCCGGAGCCACGAATCCCAGGAGACCATTGCAACATTGGCGGCGACCAGAAGGATGATGAAAATGCCTTGCAGAAAAGAGCAGTTGTAGCTGAAAGTAATTTTTTATGTCAGTTTTTTGGGGTCTTTCTCCATTAATTTTGAGGCACTAAAGCTTTTGACAGACTTGCTCACCTTGAGTCCTCATGAAAGATTGCAGCAACGATGAGGACAAGGCCACAAACGATTAGTGTAATTGCTGAGGTCCAACACAAAGTGGAGTTAGGACTTGAAAAGTGGAGCGCATCACGAAGCCAGCCACCCTCTTTCCAAGGGCACCTGCAACCAACAGGAAAACGATTAATTGATTGTCCTTCGATCGGAGGGTCGTTGATGGTGATTGACGTCGAGGCCCAGGGGATTGACGGACTAACCTGTCACGGATCTTCTGCTCATACTCTTCCAACACGGAATTGATTTCATCGTGCAGAATTTTGAGGCCTTCCACGGCCTTCAGACCGGGGCCCTCGTCCACGTCCAAGTCCACGACCGTGTACATGGTGCCCGTCGGAGGACTCTCCATTCACATTTTAGAGACGAAAGCAAAAGACCTACGACGTCGATTTTGCAATATTATGCGCTTCGAACAAGCACCGAGTAAAATTAAACTTGACCGAGGCACCACACTCAACATCACAATAGATAAAAGCTGCCAACAAAATGAAAAGAATTCGATCGAATTTTCAAACGATTTAGTCCATTAAAAGTACCTAAAATTGCATTCTAAGCTATTTTTATAATATGATATAAAGTTTTATAATTATTTTTAACAATAATTTGGGTAATTTTTATTTGGAGATGAAAAATTATCTTGGATTCTATAAAGTTGGTTAAGCTATTTAAAGGGCTCGGCAGCTGAGCTGCGCCTAGCCGCGCCCACTTTAATCTTTAATTTGTTATGACAAAAAATAACACGAAGAATAACTTGCGGAAGCAGCCGTTTATTATTTTTATCTACATATTTTAAATTATTTGTAGACATAAAATAAGTGGAATTAAGTCTTTAAAATGACACCGAGCTCATGGCAACAGCAGGCGTTTGCCATAGACGCGCGAGTAAACGCCCTGCGTGCATCAAAACACCCAAACTTTCGTAAGTATCAATTTTCATTTAATTTTTACATGATTCGATTTCTAGATTCTTATTTTCTCAGGCACTCAATACTTGCGAAGGAGAAGCCAGCTGTTGCGAGAGAACGCCGCAAACTCTTATGATGATGTATAAACGTTTTTTCTAATACATCATGTATTTAGAAAATTTCAATTTATTATCATATTTGATTAAAAACTATTAATACCGTCTTATGTGTAGGACCAGTCTGTTCAGATGGAGAGGCAGGCATATCTTAGAACACGGGTTCAGCTTCTCCAAAATAGATATGGCATCCTGTGTGATCTGTCTAGCACACGAAGCGTGAGTGCCAGAAGCAGCAGGGTTAGTTATTTGTTATTTACGATTTAAAAAAATTAACTAGGGATTAATTTGAAAATTTAGATCAGCGAATCGCCAGAGAGAAGAGGGTCTCTGAGTGACTGGTCCCTTTCAGAGAGTAGAGTTCAGAGGGGAGACGTGGTGCCCACGGCTGACGCTGAAGCTTCCAGGGCTATTGTTGGTGGAACAACTATTGAGGAAAATTACGCATTTGTCGGTGTTCACCACATTTTTGACCAAGTGTGACATATAAGACTAATTTTGAAAATAAGAATATTATTGAATACATTTTTGCAGCACTCGGCGCCAGTCAACATGGTTAAATTTGCCAACAATGATCGATCCCTTTTGTGCTGCTGCTCCGAGGACGGTACCCTGTCCATCTGCAACGTTACGGCAGACCCTCCATGTGTTGTGGCCATTCTACAAGGGCACAGCAAGGCCGTCACAGGTTGCGACTGGAGCAGTTCAAACGACTTCATAGCAAGCAGTTCCCTCGATGGCAGCATACGCCTGTGGAACGTGACTGCCGGTCAGATTCCCTCTTGCCTTCGAGCTATCACCAGTTGCGAGGCTGGCACTGAAATTCTTTGCTGTCTCTTCCACCCAGTCAATGGAAACCTCCTTGTTGTATCCTTTCAGAATTTCAAACATAATTTACCAAAATATTTACAATAATATTAAAAGTCTAAGCAATGAAACTCCTGAAAAATTTCTTAACGAGTGAAAAAACAGACTGGCAACTCCAAAGGAGTTGTGCAAGTTGTGAACGTCTCAACAGGAATCAACCCCAAGAGTGGAGCTAGCAAAATGGGAGGTCGGGTGCAAGCTATAGAGTTTGAGTCGTCGGGACAAATGCTCTGGGCTGGCAACGACAAAGTATTATTTTTTTTATTGAACATTTCTGAATAATGTATTTGTTATTGCATTATAGGGAGTCATTTTTTCATTTGTGCTGGGTCCTGTCAATGGACGAATTTCAAAGTGCAGAAGACTGAGTTTGGGCGATCACTGTTCCGTGACCTGCATTTCTTGGCGCGCTTGGTGCAGCAGAGAAGCTAGAGACCCCACCCTTTTAGTTAATGCAACAAACAATTCAGTTTACTTATTTGGGTATTGATTTACTAAATGTTTTTTTTTAACATTTTAATTAAAATATTTTAAAATTAACAACAGGGTTGCAGACAGTGAAGGTAAACTGCTCCTTAAAAGAAGATTTCCAATCAAACACAAAGAGTTAACGGTCCATTCTACTTTTTGTCCCATCATGTCATTCCGCCAAGGAGTTTGTGTCGGTCAGTTTTCACGTAGGGAAAAAATGAATTTTGCATTAATTTTTTGTTTTAGTTAGTGGTAGTGAAGACTGCTGTGTTTACTTCTTTGACATCGGAAATGAACGCAGTCCCTGCTTCAACAAACTCCAAGGTCATTCCAGCCCAGTTCTTGGTATTAGTTTTAACTATGACGAGTCTCTATTGGCCTCAAGTGATCAGCAAGGTTTGGTGATTCTGTGGAAACGGGTGAGCAGAAATAGTTCGTCGGCAACAAGTCCCACAGATTGTTGAATCTTATTTGTTTTCAATAATAAAAGAGTTATTTTCACTTTTACCTGTTTTTATTGTAATGATTGCAAATCAGAAATCATGTTTGCATTTTAATAGTAATACAATTATTACAATTAGCAGTAATCAAGTCTATACACCAAACAATAATTAACAAGACAAGGTGAATTATTAAATAATAACAGACTAATCAACACAGATTTAGCATCTCATTCATCACCAGAAGGTCAACTCAACTTTATAAAGCCACATTAAATCTAATTTCAATTAGTTTTTTTGATGTCATTTGATGGATCACTTTCATTAGAGAACTCCGTTTGGACGGCTTTTTAAAACTGTGCACATTTTAAGTTAATTTCTTATGCTTTTCAATGATCGTACTCTCAAAATCACAAATTAACAATTACTTCACAAAAGTTATTCATCTACAAAACTACTGCTTTTGCTCAAGCTGTCGCTTTTAGAATGTGAGAATAAATAATATTAACCATACACAATGCAGTGACTAAAGCGTGTTCAAGGTATATTGCTTGAAGAAAAATATTTTTCAAGTAATATTAATTATTATTAGAAAGAATTAAGTGTGAGGGTGTTGTGAAATGTGATTGTAGCAAAATTGATGGGCAAAAATATGGCGCAAACCTATCAATTGCCATAACCACATGAATGCTGCTGCTTGTTAAATGATGATTAGCAAGAAAAATCTGTTACACTTTTTTATGTGAAAGCAAACGCCGATTTTGTGATAAATATTATCTCTCTTCAATAAATACACTATATTATTTATCATTCAACAGTTTCACTATCGGGTCGTAGCGACGCCGGTTAAAATTAAAGTTCACGTTTTCAATTACTTGGAAGGTCTTTTATGATTCAGTCTTAATTCCTAAGACCTGTACTTACGAGTATTGCAAATTGAAGATTGGATGGCCCGGTATGATTGATCAATGATCGTGAGAGTCCGAAAATAGGCAGGGCTATCAAAGCCTAACACCTTTTCATGGTTGCTTGAGACTCGCCGATTTTTTCAATGTGGATAACTTCAAACCAAAATGGATTCAAAATGAAACGGGTATCACACGCCAATAAACATTAAAATCAACAAATCATCACAGAACTTGATTTTAAACACTAGTAGAGTTTTTCTTCCTTTCTCGTAAAAAAATTACTCAGAAATCTAAAGAAATCATAAGCTTCAGCTGAACTTTTGTTACGCTTGCGTTTCGGCAGCTTCGCTTGTTGGCGACGGAGAAGCGTTCAGTTTTGGACTCAACGGTGGCACCAGGCAGAACTTATTTGGCAAGTCTAGTTTCAGTTTGTCCCTCGTGTGCCGCAACTCTCCCAGGCTTGTCGGGGAAAGGGGTGAGGGTGGGGTGGTGTTGCTGCTCTCGCCACTGCTGCCCCCAGGAGAGGGAGGTTCGGATGGATCTGTGGCACTCATGCCAGGGAAGAATTGACTTGTGCTGATCGCAGCGGGGTTCAGGTGGAAGGGGCGCGTTGAGCTGCTGACAAAGAAGTCACCCTCTTCAGAGTTAACTCCTGAAAACAAACATTGAACTTAAAATTAGAAATCATTCATACATTTATTTTATTTTATTTATGTTCAAAAATTGGGCAAATAAAAAATTTAAATATCAAAGATTTTGCAAATTTTCCTTGCAGATGTATTATTCAGAATTATTTTGAGGATTGTTTTTTTCCAAATATGAGTATAATAATGAATCTCAATAATATTTTTTAAATTATATAAATAATCAATGGATTTAATAACCACCAAACTTTAATTTAATTTAAAAGCCTTTGATTTTCTTTAGTCAAAATTTCTAGGGTTTTATTTGAGTGACACGCGAAATGCAAAACTCACCATTATTGAAGTCACACTCGATGCTGCTGAGTTTATAGAAGTTGAAGGGTTTCTGCACTTTCCCGTGCTCAGATGAGTCAGGGTCGGTGTCATTGTCAGCATTCTCTGCGAGATCATCGTCATAAAGCTCCCAGTCTGCAGTTGAAAAAGATAATGAAAAGTTTGTTACACATTACATTTTATTTTATAAATACCAGCATAGGTGGCATAGTCTACGGCATTCTGGCTTGTCTCCCATCGTTTGCGAGAGTCTGCAAAAACTGAGTCATCCACCTCCGTGTCGCTTGGCTCTCTTGGATACTCATATACGTGGTGGTATTTTTCTTTTTTGAAAGAAACATTCTTTTTCAGCTCCTGAAATTTAGTCCAGATTCAGTATTTTACCCTTTAAAATCTAAATTTGTCTAAAAGTAGTTAAATCTGCCAATCCTATTCAATCTAATAAATCTGAGTCCCAGCAATTTATTTTAAAAATTCAAAATTATTATTTTAGTTTCCCTGTATATTGTTCTAAAAGTCCAAAAAGTATTCATGCTAGTGTTTTTTTTTTTTTTTTAATTTTGGAAAGGGAACATCAAAATGTAGGCCCAGCCTGACTTACAATGCTGTCCTCCTCTTCCTGCTCGAGGCATGGGAATCGAAAATTGCAAAAATTAAAAAAGACCCTGCTTGGCATATTAACCTTGTTGTTTTTGCACAGTAAATAATGCAGAACAATTTAACAAAGCTATTAAAGAGAACTTACAGATTTTCTCTCGGGACTTCTCAGCGATGATCTGTTTGGCGTGGCTTCAGAATTCCAGGATGATGGGATGAATTCAGTCTCGGAACTGGAGCAACTCGACCTATCATCCTCGTCTTCTTCTTCGATGACGTCCATGGCGTTGAATGTTTCGAATGTCTGCAAAATTTGCTACCAATAAGTTTAAAAATCTAAACGCCACAAAGAAGCGGAAGCAGCAGAGGTTGCAAAGGGGGTAAAAGACAAAATCACCACATACAGAGTGACAAAAGAACAAGAGGAGAGACAGACAGAGAGCTATTTTCAGGGTTGTCTCAGCTCACCTTGGTGGGACTATGAATTGCTTGCTGAACATTTGACGCTTCAACAGCTTGATTCTGTTCGTCAAGTTCGACCTCATTGCTAACAACAGGCTTTACTTCAGTTTCTTTATCGCCCTCCTGAATAATGCACACAGACACCAAGCGACAAATTAGCAGTAGCAAAAACAAAAGCATTGACAAAAAAATATAGTAATAAAATAATTTCTGATTCCAAAGAACCCCTTTTTGCAGAAAAGAGGCACTTTAACAATAAGCCAATTAACAAGCGTTTGTCCTTTATTTGCTAATTTCTTTGGACAATTTCGCTCTAACTACTTTACCAATAAGACAAATTTTGGAAGCAATTTTGAACGTTTAAGTGAAATATGAAAATTTTAGCTTTAGTACTACTATGATACGAACCTTCCAGACAAATTCACCGCTCGAGCAGGAATCCTCGCTTCCCGTGTCGCTCTCCCAGTCGGGAGTGACGCACTGGCGCTGCGGCTCGTTGAGCTCTGCGCCAACCAACTTTGAGTGCTCCTCCTCAGGCGAAGGCATCGGCGCTTTGGTTGACGGAAGCGAAATCCAGGTCATCGGCTCTGGAGGCTCCTCTTTGCCCTCCTCAACGCGGCCAAAGGTGGTCACCTTCTCATGCTCCTCAGGTGCCTCCTCTTCATACTCGTCCTCCACCCACTGGTCTTCAACACTACTAGGAGTCGAGGCGCCGCCACTGTAGACCTGCTGGCCATTGGCGAAGTTGAGAAAAGGCAATTTTGGCTTGAGCGGCGACTCCACCATGGTGGCTTCGTTAGTCTCGGTGTTGACAAAGAGCATGTCGTCCTCCTCGCCCGCCTGGGGGCCGTTTGAGCATGACTCGATGGCCGCCCTTATGTCCGCTTCGAAGTGTTCGGAGCGGTCGAGCACCAAAGGTGGAGTCTCGACAGGCGCCGGACTGTTGGAGCACGAACTGGAGAGGCTTTTGGAACGCGCGGCAACCTTGGTGGCAACGCTGACCGACGGCGAGCAACTACCCGACGAGGCCAGACTCTCCTGCTCCTCCAGAATTGGCGACAACGGTGCCGGGTAAATGTTGTAGTGCACAGGAATGTCCTCCTGTCGCACCTCCTCCTCGTCACCGCCGTCACTGCATCCACCCAGGTTGGGCAATTTTTGCTGCAACTCGCTACGAATGGCCGCCTCGCTCGCTTCGTCCATGCCGTAGTTGTCTTCGGAACTGCCTTCACTGTCCTCCAAGCTGCGTTTGAACCACGAGTTGGTGTACGCCTTCTCCTCTTCCGAGGGGGACAAGTCAGAGCCAACAGCCTCATGGAAGAGCGCCATTGTCTTGCCAGCGGCGTTCTTGAGTGAGGCCATTTGCTGTTTCCAGAAGTCGTCGTCATCATCGTTTTTGTCCTCACTGTCGCCGGTGTCGAAACCTTTCAGGTCATCGTGCGGTGTTCGTTCCAAGCCACTGTCGCTTGACGGTGTCCCCAGCTGCCCGAAGGTCTCCAGCTCCACCTCAATGTCTTCCAGGTTGTACTTTTCACCGTTTTCGCCATCGCAGCTCTCACTCAGGCTCACTTTGTCCCTATAGCCTGAATCACTGCTGCGTTCATCGTCGGGCGTAGTTCTCTTGATGGAAAATTCCTCCAAACCAGTCTTGAGACCTTCGTATTCCGCGGCTGTCCTTTTAGCAGCGGGAAATTTAATGTCAGCAGACGTTGACCAATTGTTAACAACGTCTATTCTCTCGTTCAGCAAGTTGTCCAGTCTGCTCAGAGCGGTTGACTGCTCAGCCTGCGTTGTCAGAGGCACCAGGTCTGGGTTTTCCAGGCATATTTCAGCGGCCAGGGTTGTTGTGTCAACGTCCAGTATGATTGCCTCCATGCTGGACTCGTCGTACTGTTTCACATCAAGCACCAGGGTCTCTTCGCAGAGCTCGGCCAACCGCTTGGGCTTGAAGAGAGGCTCCAAGGTGGTCTGGACGTCGTCCAATATGAGCGCCTCCTGCTTGTCTGCCACATATTCGAATGCAATGGTACTGAGTGGGCCATCCGTCTTCTCCTTTTCTGGACTGGGAAGCGGTTTGCGCTCAACCTTGAGCATGATGGGCAGGGTTGGCGCCTCCACGGGCACGATTGCGGCCTCCGTTAATTCTGTGCTGGGGTCTTCGGGGGAGTTTAAGGACACGTGTGGGACATGCGAGTCAAAAGCGATCATGCCTGCCGTGTCAGCGCTAGGGACGATCTGAAGGTGGGATGTTATTTGCAGGTAGTTTAAATCTTTGGAAACGTCTCTGATTTTGCGGTGGTGCTTAGGATGCGTCGCTTCGTACGCAATCATGCTGACAGGCTCGGCCGCCAGCTCGATGTGGTGAGGCTTCGACTTGTGGGACTTTTGAGGAGGCTGCAGCAGATTCAGATGGGGAGAAGATGGACACTGATTTTCTTCAGCTATCAGCTTCACCTCGCTTTCTGCTGGAGTGAGATCGGTAACAACGATCGGAACTTCTAAAACGCTCTCTTCAATCAGCTCAGGTGGACGTTTTTCTTCAGTCTCGATGAGCTTGGGTTGTTTTTCATTTGTGGCAAGGAAAGAAGTCACGGGCATGTCAAAATTTTGCTCTGAGCACTGCTGAGAGTCAAGATGAACTTCAAAATCAGTAGCACTGCTTTCTTCTTTTGCAATGGTGTCCTCAGTGAAGTCCAGAATGCTGTAGGGTTGGTCGAACGCCTCCAGCTGGACGTCAGCCAAAGAAATGGCAGCACTCTCCTCTGAGATCAGGTACTTGGTGGATAGATCTGATGATAGGAACTTATTGCTAGGGGGAGATGTCGGGGCGTCTAACTGGAAGTCTACTGCCACTGCTGATATGCTATCATACTGCAGGCTGTCAAACGCAGTGTCTTCAATTTTTGACAGCTTTCGTAACTTTCTAAATGAGTCGAGCAGGCCTTCGATGACAACAGCACCACAAATGTTGCCTTCACTCTTGAAAATGTCATACTTGAGGGGTTTGGGAATTGGGTAGTCTGTGTCGTCACCGTCGCTGCTCGAGTCAATGTGTGTGAGGACCATCAGGTCTTGCACACTTTGAGACTTTTGTCTCACCTTTTCAGAAAACTCGCCCCTTTCCACTCGGCCTCTCCACGTCTCTTCCTCTTCCGAGTCAGAGTCGGCGCGCAGAGTCATGTCCTCCGGCTTGGCTGTGATTGAATGACGCCTGATTGGTGTGCAAACAATTGAGCTGCATTCTGAGGACGAGGTCTGCTCTAGAGCAAGAGCGTCGTCCAAATCTTGGATGGCTTCGCATATTTTTCTGGTGTCATCGTCGTCCAAAGTTGACGACTGGCTTGAAAACAGATCGCCTGTTGAGCTGATCATGGTTGCGATTGTTTTCACTGGTGACACCTCTCTACTGTTAGGCAACGAAATTGAGCGCAGCTCCTGGACATCATCCAGGGAGCCATGCAGGTTCTGTAAGCTCGGCGACCGCTGCTTCTCAGCAATGGGAAAGTCTTTGCTCGGAGATGCGAAGAGGTCGTGCTGCTCTATCACCACAATGTGCTCCTGCTGCTCTGGGATTTGCTGCAAACCAGAGTGATTTGGTTTCAAGGTGGCCCATCGTTCTTCAAAGGTCTTGTCAGCCTGCGCCTTGTTGCTAAGTAGGTGGTGCAGCATGCCCTTGATTTGGGAGATGTTTGGACGGTTCAAATCACTCGACCAGCAGAGCTTCATCAAATGATAACTGCAAGTGTTTAAAAATTAGATTAAGTTTTCATTGGCCAGCTATTAACTTACAGATATTGACTGTGGGGCAAGTTCAGAGACGGGGGAGGCAAAATTCGTCTAGAGGGACCAAGCACTTGGACAATGACTTCTTCGTCGGACAGCGTAGCATAAGGAAGTGATCCAAATTCAATGACTTCCCAAAGTAGAACACCAAATGTCCAGACATTAGCAGAAGTTGTGACCTGTATACAACACATCTTAATTAATTAAAAAAATTAAATTAAATAAATCAATGTACTTGCCTCTTTGGTTTCAATTATAGAGTCCGTACAAACAAGAGTTTCAGGCGCACACCACCTAATTGGCAATGCCATCTCCCCTGCATAATAATACTCCTCCTGCAAAATTTATTATTATGCAAATTGAGAATTAATCACACAGAGCTCGAACTCACCTTAAATCTATCAATACTGTTTCCATAATCTCCTATTTTAACCGAATAGTCAGACGCAAGCTGACAATTCCTTGCTGCCAAGTCACTGTAATGCAATTTAATATACATATTAAGCACTTGAAGAGCATCATCTCTTTGCATATTACGTGTGAACAAATCCATTTTGCGCCATGAACTCCAGACCAGCTGCAAGTTGGCACATGATGCTAAGTAGTTTTCCTTCTTGCTCAAACTGGGCTGCATTGTTTCGCTGGTTTATCAAGAAGGACTTCAAATCACCCTGAAATTATTTAAATTTTAACAAAATAGTAAAGACAATAAATAATATTCATCTTTACCACAGGACAAAACTCCATGGTGATGAGTAGTGGCTCGTTGTCGTAGCTGCACCCGAGAACCTTCAGCAAATTGGGGTGACTAAGGGTGCGCAAAGCCGCCACCTCCCTGAGAAACAAACTCCTATCCTCTTCAGGAGCAGCCTCGCTTAGTATCTTGACCACCACAGGTGTCGTTCCAGGGCCATCCATAAAACCCTCACCTTCCACCACCTTTCCAAACCAACCCTTGCCCAACTCTCTCAGGTACTTAAGTCTTTCTCTTGGAAAACTCGGTTCATCTAAAATATTTTTAATTAATTTTGAACCAATAAAAATGCATAAAATATTACCAAATAATTCTGTGAATGGGAGTTTAGGATCTGCACTGCTGAACGCAGCTGGTCTCAAAGGAGTGTGTTCTGGACTAGCCGGCGTCACAGCAAATCTTGGCCTGATGTCTGGGAGCGGCTCGAAGCGGACAGTGGGCACCGGGCGATCAGAGGGCGGCTGCACTCCCGGCGGTGGGAAAATTGTGAATTCGGAGGAGGCTGAGGCTGGAGTAGCCGCACTCGCCAGCGGGTTGACAAAACCGGCTGTGGAAAGGCTGTGGTTCGAGGTCGTGTCGGTGAATTCCTGTAAACAAACGAGCAAATTTTGTTTCAAAACTTTTGTCAGACGGGCATGTTGTTTTTAAATGGTTTTGCAAACGAAAATGTCATGAATAATAAAAACAGTGCATGAGTGGTTGTGTTGCACGATTGCATCACTTAACGAGTCTGAGGAACTTGCAATTGGCTTTGGATTGGCCAACGAGGTGGTGAGTCACGTAGGGAGCAGCGCTATAATTTGCTCCTCTTGTGCATTAATTACATTGGCAGACACCATCGGCGGCGGTGCTCATTAATTATTCCGCCCTACGTTCAATTTTGACTATGGCTTTTATTGATTACAACAAGGCTGGGCCTCGATTAGATCAGATTTTCGCACAGCATCGCAAACAATAATAAACTGCAAAAATATTTTCCGAGCCTGTACACGTGTGCCACTTGGTCGTGCCGTTGGTCTTGTTCGTTTCTTTTTTCTCAAGTGTTTTGCAAAGGTTATATTCGGAGCGTCTGCTGGTGCTGTTCAACAATTAAACAAGTAGCAAGCGAGAAAGACTGCAGAACTGTAAAATACGGCCCGAGCTGAATGCTTGACCTCCACCGTTGTTCTGTCTGCCATAAGCCGAGCTGCCTCATCACCGTCGCTTTTGTGCTCCGGTGCACTGCTCCTTTGCTCATCATCATCTCAATAGACTTGCAAAAAATAAACGAGCTCCAGAGACACAAAAAAAATTAATTCGGTCGCATTGTTGAGGCTGTTTTTTTCCTTTTCGCGTTAATCGGCAGCAGTGGGTGTTGTTTTAAGAGGCACAAACTCTCTCGCTCGCATCACCGACTACAGTAGTGCGCGCTGAAGGACAGTTAAAGGATAAACTTTGATCTTGAGCGGCGCAATTCGCCAGTCGATTGCGTTCAACGAGGAAAACGAATGGACGAATGGTTGAACGGAGGAAAGAGTTTTCAGAGAAAATTATAATTCGCAAAGCGGTTCACTTTTTCCTTATCGTGACAATTTTTTTGTATTGAGGTAGGCAGTAAACGATGGGATGCTTTTTGCAGGTATTATACAACAAGGTAAAAATAAAAAGCTACAAAAAATATCGTTAATGCTTTTTTAACTTTTTCTAGGGGATCTAATGTAAATATAATCAGCTTTGAGCTTTCAACTGTTAATCTTCCTTCATTGACTATCTCACTTAGTAAAGTTGGTATCTTAATTTTATAAAAAAAAAATGTAAATTAATTCCACTTATACGTTATATTACTTTAAATATTATTTTACTTCTTGTTGTATGTAATCTTTGTAATAGTTCGAGTTTAATTTTAAAGTTAGTCATTTCACAGACTAGGAAGTGCATTATTTGCAAAACATAAAAAAAAGTTTTTAAATATAAAGCGGAAAATCCGGCGCGCCATCAGAGATAACCTAAAGAAAACCCAGAGAAAAAACCCCAATCAGTTTCCTCGTAACCTTAATAAACAATGAAACCGTATTATATCTTAAACAGACGGGATAACCTCTTGTTTTCGGAAGGATCGTTGATTATTTTGTGGCTTCAACCTCTACTCTCGTTCGTAAAGATATACCAGGAAGCAAGGCCCACTGGTTTTCACAGCTGCATAAAGCGCGAGATGCGGTCAAGAAGGTAACAGGAAAATCGCCCTGGTGGATTTGACGTCCGACGGACGATTAAGGAAATTCCTATTCACCGCCGCGACGAGCAAACAGCTCTGATATCCGGGAAGTGCGCTCTTTTGTGAGAAAACGAAAATGATTTATTCAGGGGCTTCTCTTTCAAAACGTATGGTAAAAGTAAACAGAGGTGACGCACCCACTTCTTTATTAAAAAACGCGTCACATTTTACGAAACGAGAAATGTTTATCCTCTGAAGCGCTGAGAGACAGTCAGTGTGTTACTGTTTTGCGCCGTCTGATTCACCAGTTTCTGACTATGAGCAATAGTTGAAACAAAACGTTAATCGACCAAAATAAATAAATTCAGCGGTTTTGCTGGCACAGGGTGGCACCGACGCGTTTAATGAACTGAGGGAGCGTGATGGTGCAAATGAGACTTCTTAAATCACGCCTGAGCGAAATGAAGCGGACAAAGAAGAAAAACAATGTTAAAAAAGTGAACGACGAGACTTTTGTGTCTGGAAAGAGACGAGAAAGGCGACAAAATCAATTTGGAGGCGAATAAAAAATGAAATGAAATAAAAATGACCGGGGGAAACAATGGCGGCCAAACCCAGCAGCTCGAGAGTAAATCATTTCAAAAATCAAGTGCAGATGCTCGTTTGAATGGGCTTGTTATTATTCTCTCTTGCTCGCACTCTATTTGGCTGCAAATCTGCGCGGCCTACTGGTGCGGAAACAATGCAAAAGCAGCACGGCTCACAAGGCATGACGCTGCTGTTGACTGGAAGTTGTAATGAATATTACACACACACACACACAGAGCGCGAAAGAGGAAATTTTAACCCCGGCGAAACGTGCTGGGGTGAAATGAAAGCATGTCCCTGGAAATGCGCGATAAAAAACGACGAGAGTGTCGTGAATGTGGTAGACGCGTCGTCGGGGTGTGCAGTTGGAACGTGGGCGTTTCAGGCAAAACATAGGATTTCAACAAGCAAAAGGTGTGCCTGGGAAGGTGCCTATTTGAAATGCTTTGAACATCTTCCATAATTTTGCTATACGGCAACAAGTTATAAAAGTTTCCCCTTGAAAAAATTCATCATAGAAAAGGAGATAATCAAAAATTTATTATTATATTAAAAAATTCCCTCACATTACGCATTACTTGACTGATAAATAAAATATTTATAAAAAAATAAATGCTTTTGAGAAGACAAATTGAAAATCACCTTCAAATTGTTAATCACGCTATTAAATATTTTTTTCTAAATATTTATAAATTGCATTGGACGCTATTCACGTGCATGTGTCATGGCTGATTGTGAGTGAGTGACAATTTATTTAAGAAACAGCGTAGCATGAATTCCAACGAACTGTTTTCAAATGAAATGAATCACAGACGAGCACTTTTCTTGATGAGAAATTTAAAAAAAATACTTTTTAAGCATTATAAAAATGGAAAACAAAAATTACACTATGCATAAAATCATGCTCATTCGATGCGGTGAGGATGTTTGTAAAGAAATAAATTTAAAAAAAGAGATGGAGGAGTTGAAACTGAAAAGCTGCTATGTACACAATGCATACAACAATATAACGAGTTGCAAAACGTAAAAGCGCACGAATGTAAAACGCAAATGAAGAACAATGGCAGCAACAACTGAACTGAAATCCGGCTTTGGAGCGAGAGATGAAATCATCTCTCACGAGCGAGCAAAGAACAACCAACTCTTGGTCTTACCTTTTTCACCACGGGCCGATTCTCTGATCCTTTTTTCGGCTGCTTGCACAGATAGAGAAAAAAATTGCTAAGTTTTCTACTTGTGACCCACTGACTGACAGAGCACTTTGAGTTGTCACCGAATTCAGTCGCCTTGGTTCTGAGCATGATGACGATTTTTACAAAAACATAATTTTTCTAAAATGAATGAATGAGCAGCGATGCGCGGAGTTGTTTCGCTTTCGGCAGCCGGCTGCTGATTAGCGCTGAAAATTTTTGCTGGCTCAAGAAGGGAGTCCCCAGTATGCAGTGAGTCAGGCAAGGTCGCAGCCAAGTGCAATAAAACTAGTCTCGCTGCTGGGATGCTTGTAATGCGGATGAGTCATACGCTCTCTGGCCGCGCGCGCGTTCTTTATTGCGGAGGGAAGGACGGGGCGCCGGTTGTGGCGCTTTTCAGTCGCAGAATTATTATACATGAGCCGCTGAAAGAGGTGCGACTCGCACCGCGGGCTGTCAATTGCCGATCGACTGGCGGCGCCCAAATTCTTTTCCGATGGCTCGTTTTTCAGTGACTCACGAATTGGAGGTGGCAGAACAATTTGATTTTGATTTAATATATATTTATTAGTTCGAAAACTAGTACATGTACATTTAAAATTAATATGTCAAAAATTTGTCCATTGCACTCTTGATGACTATTTAGTCCTGCACAAATTGTCACTTTTCAATCACTTGAACACAATAGTACAATATCTTGATTTTTCAAATAATTTTTACACGCCTTTTTGAACGATTTAGTACCTTCAATACATTTAATATCTGATGGAATCTTATTAAATAATTGGAGGCCGCTTTGAAATAGTGATTTTTCTCCAAATTTACTCTTGCTTTTGGAAATATAAAAATCTCCAACTGCTCTAGTTTTATAATTATGCACGTCACCCACAAGTTGTACTTCCTTACAGAGGTAATTGGGGACCTCCTTGTTTTTAATTTTTTTAATTAACACAAGAATATTTAGAGCTAGTTTTTCTTTGACATTAAGCCAATCAAGCTTTCTTAACATTTCACTTATTTGCGTCCTCTTGTTACAATTCAGAATAATGCGCATGGCCCTATTTTGAACAACTTGCATTTTCTTCACATTTTCTTCACTAGCACTCCATAAAACACTTGCACAATAATCAAAATGTGGTGCAACAATACAATTGTAAATTAGCACTTTCGTGTTTTTTGACAAAAAATTACTTATTCGGCCGAGGTAACTTATTTTAGTTGCCGCCTTCCTAATGACATATGAAACATGATCATCAAATTTCAAATGACTATCAATAATTACACCCAAATACTTCATGTTGTCAACCCACTCGAGTGGTTCATTATCAATTACAATTGGAACTTCATTTCTCTCCGTGCTCACTTCATTTAATTTTTGAGTTGATTTTGCTATTAACATACATTTTGATTTTGCTGCATTTAACTTCACCTTATTTACATTGAGCCAAATCAAAATTATTTTTAGGTTGTCGTTGAGAATATTTGCCGCCTTCACGTATGTATCAGCAGTGGCTGACAACAACGTATCATCCGCAAATATTTTTAACAACACACTTTGCACATGGAGTGGTAGGTCATTTATATACAAAATAAACAGTAATGGGCCTAAAACCGATCCCTGTGGGACTCCAATATTTACTTCAATTTCCTCCGATTTTTTGTCATTTACAAACGCAAATTGTTTCCTCTCGGTCAGGAAACTTTTTAACAATTTCAAACTATCACCTCCAAATCCATATTTTTTTAGTTTTTCTATCAAGAGATTCCGATCAATAGTTTCAAATGCTCTTTTAAAGTCAAGAAATACAGCAATTGTTATTTTACCCTCGTCTGCTGATTTTCTCCACGCACTTAACACTGCCTGAATTGCCGACTCGCATGAGTGTTTGCCTCGGAAACCAGACTGCATTTCATAAAGTATGTTGTTTTCTTCAACATACTTTACAATTTGCATGTGCAGCACAATTTCAAAAATCTTTTCACACAATGGTAAAATATTAATTGGACGGAAATCCTGGGGCTCTTTAGGACATTTGACCTTAGGAATCGGTACCACCATTGACTTTTTCCAGCAATTTGGATAAATTCCTTCTGCAATTGCACTATTAATAATATTCAAAAGTTTGTCCTGTATGAACTCAAATGAGTGCAGCAGGACTTTTAAGTTAAGATTGTCTGAAACTGCTTTTGACTTCAGATTTTTTACAATGTTCAACAAAGTCGCCATATCAACAGAACTAAATTTAAAATTCGCTGGTTTTTGTGGAATTTCATTTAACCTCTCAGCATCTCTCCGATTAACATTGGGTATATTCATGTTTAAAGTTTCTACACTTTGCACAAAAAATTCATTAAAACTGTTTTCTATAGAGATATTACAGTTTTGAAATGATATGTCCGTAACTGGAGACCTGGTATTATTTTTGCTGACAATTTCTTTTAGCGTTTTCCACATTTGTTTGGAATCACTTTTTAGTGCATCAATTTTTTTATGATAATACATCCTTTTCGCGGCTCTATTTTTCTGCACACAACTGTTTCGCAGATTAGTATAAACTTTCCAGCAGTTTTCTTTTTCAGATGGAACACAATTATACACTTTTTCACGCGCCGCGTCTCTTTTCGCTTGTTCACTTTTTATTTCTTCGGTCACCCATGGCTCGGCCACTCTCCCTTTCAGGAGAATAACCTTGTGGGGGAGAAGTGCGCTCACCGCTCTGTCTATTTCACCGAAGAGGGCCTCAGCTTTTTCACTTGCGTTCATTTTGTCCTTGATTTCTATGTTTTCCATGCAGTCCTGCAGTTTATCATAGTCGAAATTTTTCCAATCCCTCACTTCAACCACACGCGGAACTTTGAGCCGAGTGTCAAATAGGTCACACTTAATTTTAATTGTCTCGTGATCCGCAATTTTAGTTCGTTTCATTCTCTGTAGAGTTAAGCCAAAATGATCACTTATTACAAAATCAATTAAGCTTTCTGACGTGTTGGTTATTCTCGTATTGAAATTCACAAATTGCTTCAACCCATTGTCAAAAATCACATCTAACATTTTTTTACTTGCTTCACATTTGTCATTTAAATTAATATTGAAATCTCCAGTTATAATTGTCTTAGATGAACTAATATAATTTTCTTGCAGCCATTTATCAAAAGAATCAATAAATTCGTGAGCACTGTAAGATGGAGAGCGATATAATGAATAGATATAAAAAACACCCCTTTTAGTTTTAATTTTAACTCCGCATATCCACCAAAATGGCGCTTTATTGAGTGAACAGATATTTTCAAAAGGTATGTCTTCACGAACATAGATTGATGCTCCACCAGTGTGCTTTGAATGTGAATAAACCGAAAGAGAGTTGTAACCCTTTATATTAGTTTCACATTCGTTAATGTCCTCCGTTATATGTGTTTCACTCAGGCAGAGCACACTGGGAGTTAATTTTTCTAACGTCCTTAAAATGTCACTTTTACTATTAATTATACCACGCGCATTGGCATAAATTATTGAGTTTGATTTTTCACCATATTCGCACATACGCTAGTCATTTCTTGCACGTTCTTCAGCTGCTTTCATCGCCTGCTGCATACTTTGGCACTTGAAGTTCATTACTATGTGATTTTCGTTGAACTTCTTCTCATCACTGCTGCATTTTAGGTTGTGGTTCCAGCAGTTTATGCACTTATGCTTTTCTTTATTCTCCTTATGGGGGCAGTCCTTCCACAGGTGATCCTCCGCACAAATGGTGCAGATCTTGGGACCGGCGTAACGGCAATTCACAGCCTTGTGATTGTAGCCGCAACATTTGTAGCATCGCATCAAAGGGGGTTGTTCCAATCAAATAAATCCCCAATTATTGTAAATTTAATTATAAACTGAAATTAAATGTAATATGTGAGTAAGTAATTTCATAAGTCTCAAATTTCAAAGAAAATGGGCCTTGAAATAGTAAATAAAATTAAGAACTGAAATTTCTGAAACCTACTTAATAACGTTTTTCAATAGTTTAGATACAAGCTATTATATCTAAAAGAAAAATTATAATTAATTCAAATGAAAAAATAAATTAATATAATAAAAAAATTACATATCAAAAAAACTTTTTTTTTATGATTCCTCTAAAAATAATAATTTTGTTGAATTTCATTTCAATAATCCAGTCAAACATTAACACCGAAAAGGTGAAATTTTGAAAGAGAATAAACAGCTAGCTCTAATATTTTATTGATTTATTAAGTACAAAAATAACATTTGTATATTTATAAAATGGAGTATAAAAAGGTAAAAATGTTTGCTCATCTCTCTCATTTTATCATTTTTGATAAAGTAAATAAAATATGAAAACATAAAATTACCAATTTCAAATTTAAAAATATAGAAATATATTAACTAAATTATTAATAATTACAATTCAAAATTTTTGTCAATTAGGAATGAGATTAGAAATAATTCCATTTAAATTAATTTTACTGCACTAGAAAGCTTTTTACACGTTTATTTTATAAATTTTATTATAAAAATGCTCTGTTTCAAACTTACTTCGTAAAACAGCTGTTCCTACTTGATAGTCTGGGTTCAAATGATTCCTTTTTAACAAAATAATGTAATGTAGAACTATTACGCAAGTATGTCTTTTTAACATCCGCATTAGCAGTAAAAGCAAGCTGCTTGTCGTTCAGGTAGACTGTTACCAAGGGGAACGTTGAAGTTCCTCGAGTGCATTAGAGACAAAGAAATAAACGTTGAAAACAAAAAAACAAACGCCACGTTTTTCCACATCCTACATGTTAAAAAGTGTGCTAAGGATGTCACTTTTTTACTATAGAATCCTCCTGGCGTGAGTCACCGACCGTGCGGAATAAATCAATAAGTATACATTTTTCATAAACGGCGCGATTCGGATCTTTCAGCGCAACGCTCGTGAGGTCATTCATAAGTGCACTCGCTCCTTCTCTTTCCCAGAGCTGTTTTATCGGACATCTGACAAAGTGACGAGGGCATCTATTAGTTCATCAGCTGAAAGGAAGCTCTTGAATGTGTATCAAGAGACGAGCAGGCGCGCGGACTCCTTTCAAAGTCAACCCGCGCGACTTCAAGTGCATCCGGACGACAATGTGCGCGATCGGTGATTCAGATTAATTCAGATCACTAGCGCAAACTCGTCTGGTTAATTATATAAAATTTTCTTGAATAAGAAACAAAATTTCCACTGGTTTTAAATTTTTGCATAATTTTACGTAATGTTTTCAAAGTGATCTCAAGAAATGTGTTTTCTAAAAAAGTTTTGATTTTAAGTATTTAATTTAAGAATATAATTTTCTATTTTTTTTTTATAATTTAAAAAAATATTAAAATAAATGGCAGTATGGCTTATTCAATAAGATTCTTTTAACCACACGATTTTGGCAACGGATGCGGATAAGTTCAATTGGTCAACAAACAGTTACAACAATGAATCTTCCAACACATCAGGTGTGATCATTATTTTTCCAGTACAAAGCGCGCTGCAATTTGTAAGGCGCAATAAAATAATATCGATCCGCACGGCGGCACAACTGCTAATAAAATAATTGGCCACGGTGTTCACTGCACGAAGCGATTGTCGGAGGAGACGCCCCGCGAGCAAACATATCAGAAAAGGGCCTAGTTTGGAAGTCACACGTGGTGTGTGTGTGTGTTTCGTGCACTGTTTGCCATCCATCAGGAAAAAAACTCTAGAGGTCAAGGTCACGAACGATTTGTTTAATTTTTCCCCGTCATATCTGCACCCCGCGACGAACAGTAATTACCTGTGTGCCAAAGGTGCCCTAATTAAGGCAAAGGGCGCGGCTTTCAGCTTTATTAAAAAGTTGCGTTCTAAGGGCGGCTCCTTTTCTGCAGGACGCATTCCGGGGCATCGATCTTCCCCTCGAGAGTCGAGTAGCTTTTTGAGCTAATTTGCGTGCACCGGTGGGACCCTTTCTAAAGCTACTCAAATATAATCCAATCGGTTACGCACGACGGCCTGCTCTCGTGGATTTTTCATTCCATTGTGGCATTTTATTCGGCTAAAATTTATTTGATAACGGCGGTTTTTATTATATTTTCTTTGCTCTGACTTTTCAGAACAATAAAAAGATGAGAGCAGTAACCGACTTGGAGAGAGAAAGGGTCTATCAGCTGCGGCACGCTTGTAAAACATGGATTGCTGGTGTGAACAATTGCAATATCCGCTTTTTTGGCTTCGCCGCCGAGGACAAGTGAAGAGAGCATTTTTTCTCGAGCAATTTCACCGGCTAATGCTGCTGGCGGAAAATTGGCAAATAACGAGAGCTTTTTTGTTTCTTTTACAACTTTTACTTAAAGCATTCTATCAGATGGAAAGTTTGGATTTTGTTAGAAAGATTTATTTTACACAGTTAATTTTATTAAATATCAATCTGTTTCAGAGATTATATATAAAATTTCTTCTTGTGCTTGAAACTTAATCTAAATTTCTTAAAAATAAAATAGTTCCTCCACAAAGAATTTATTAATCAGAATAAAATTAATTTTTAATTTCATTATGAAAATTTTGAGCTGTCATGTTTTCAAAGTCTATCCTCGTGGGTATCAGAATGATTTCCTTCCGACGACTGCAAAACTCATCAGCTTTTGCCAGTGTGAGTGACGGAGTCTTTACGAGCTTATCCAATTCAACCTTCCCTTTTATTGGATCACAATAAGTCTATTGCGGAATGGTCGATGTCAATCAATTCTTTCAACCGAGTTCCGTGAAGCGTGCATTCTGCATTTGTGGCGTGACGATCCAGCGTGGCACCGCCGCACATGCACCACCTATGTATACGAACGACCAATCTACCTCAAAATGTTTACGGCACAATGGCTCCCTATATACATGCTGCGAATTTCTGACTTCCCTCCACCCACGATGATCGGATCAAACATGAATGAGCGTGTTGGGCCTAAAATGTCAATATATAATTTATTTTTGTTATAATTTTCAATGTGACTTTTTCTCTTTGTTAAAATTGAATTCTTCCAGAAGCAAAATGCAAAATATTTGCCTTTAAATAAGTAGTCTGGGAATTAACTTTGCGTGTTTTTTCTTCTTATTTATTTTGCGGCGTTGTTTAGAAATCAGAGGCAATAACATGAGTGCGCGAGGGAAAAGTTGCGAAACTTTTCCTCTCGCAAAGTCATAGGAGTTCCGGCGCCATGCGGGTGCTGATGTGCAACATCTGCGGTCTATTGAATACCGGCTGAATTAGGAAAAGGTCAACGAACCAGACGCGTTTCTTTGGATTCAGTCCAAATTTCTGGTTGAAAACTTTTTGCGTTCAATGAACAAAACACTTCACGCGTTTGGTTTGAACTTGCGAATGCCAGAGCAGTAATCCCTTCACTACTGGGTTTCTGGGAATCGACTTGTTTCTGATATATAGATTTAGAGAATTCCGATCTATTGGTTGAGGGACTTTGCATTATTTTATCAACAAATGGCCAAATGACTCATCAGCTCAAATCCTCTAAAAGTAATAAATTGGTTCACTCTAGGATTACCTCAAAATATAATTAAGAAAATTAAAAAAAAAAGATATTTGTATTAATGATTTATTATTGTAAAAACGTGTACTTAATATATTAAATAATATAAAAAAGCAATTTTATTTTCAAAAGTGCAAGCCAAAAAGAATCAAATTAAATTTATTTCAGCATGCCAAAAACTGGCAGCAAATTTTGACGTTCAATTTCAGGGTGGGTGCCAGCAGTGTTGCAGACATTGTCAGTTTGAATTAGAAGCGCCAAATTAGACCCAGTGCGCACGTTACGAGGGAGAAAAACACCATGGTACATAATAAAAATATGAGCGCTTGGCACCGCGTTGGATGGCTGACTAGAAATGTCACTTTGCGAAAGAGAAAAAAGATGTGTGTCGTGGATGTAACAAAGAAACGACAACCTCTCGTATAATAAAACTCGGCCGCCATCGATTCTTCTGCCTTGGTGGTGTCGCCAGAAGTGTGCATTGATTTTGTTCCTGTTGCTTAATGAGAGCGAAATCTGCTCGTTACGTGATCGATTCCCCCAGCAGACTGCAGAACGAGCAGAGGTAGGAAATAAAAAATTTAGTGCCGGGGACGCTCCGGCGACTCCTCCTTTGGCTGCACAAAAGCACGCGAGCAGCGAGAATAAAATAATAACGGAGACGAGTGGTTCCATCCTGAATGAAAGGAGAAGAAGGTAATTGAAAAGGTCCGGTATGTATAATTTGGGTGCGTGGGTCGCTCGCCCGATTCGAGAGACTTCGTGATGTCAACGAACGCACGTTCTTTATTTTTATCCAGCAGATTCACACTGATCTTTTGTCTTTTTTTCCTTGGAGAATAAACATATTTTGAAGAATGAGGAGAAAAATTACCCCATTAGTTTAATTTCATGGGAGAAACGTGACGTCCTATTTGCAAACGTGGACGTGCTGCTGCTTGTGCGACCGTGGAAGTGTTATAAATCTGCGCCGCGGCTAAACAAAATTAATTTATTTTCGCGCCTTATTCTTCGTCTTCTTGCGCGCGTGAATAATGAGCCTGCTCTAATGATGATGAATTCCAAAGCGTAAGTCAGAAAAATCATAAAAATTCATTCTTCTTCTCATGACTTAATAGTACAAAAATTTATATATGTTAATTTTTTTCCTTTTTACCTATTATTTATAATTTTATTTTCCCTTTGTTAACGGTTTCTATAGAAATGAAAATTCTCATCAAATACAAAATAAAACAATGTCAATAAAAAAAAGAATAGTTAAAAAACTTAAAAATACATTTAATTTGTTGGAAAATCTTTGCTATTAACTAGCTCGATTTTTTTAATGAAATATTTTTCGGAGATTAAAATTGCCAAATAATAATAGTCCTCTTTTTTTAATTTACAATTATCTTAAAAAGAATCAACCTTGTCCCTGTATGCATATTGGTTTCCAGATGTTAAAACAAATTATAGGGACGAGATCAAATCTAAATCTAAACAAATCTATATTTTTACCCACAAAACATATTTATTCATTTTGAATGAACGTTTTGCCAATTTTTCTTTAATTACATTTTTTAATTATACTAAATTTTGCATAAAAGCAATGAATAATCTCTTACTCGCCTAGAAAAAGAGCCGTCGTGACTCTTAATAATAACTCTTGAAGACACAAAAAGATGTAAAATATCAAGGGAAAAAGATGGAACGGCAAATAAAAGAAATGGTCCTCCCAGAGACATTCTTCCTTCCTTTCATATTTTAGTTTTTCTCTGTCCCTCCACGGAGGGCGTTGAATAACTTTTGTGAGAAGAAGTGTGATTTATGAATTTTCGAGGAGGCTTGCAAAATAAATAGCCCTCGGGCGCCGCCGGGCACACAGAAGATACGAATTTATTCCGGCGGAAAAATAGCGGGGAAAGCACTAGGCTAGCAAAATATATGTATGGCGGCCGAGTTTGCACTTGGCACATGACCGCTTACTCGCCTTCGCACCGACTCGAGGGCACTTGGCTTCGTTTCGTGGCACCGAGACGTTTAATAAGGAAGGGCTCTTGAAAGGTTTTGTCGCGTGTGCGCTGTATGAGAAAATGACAGGGGGAGTTTTTAAAGGACTGGGCTGCGTCCCTGCCTGCATCATGAAAAGACGCTAATTTATTTTTGCGACGACGAGACTCCGCAGAGTTTGCTAAGGCGACTGAATTCGGGCTGTGCAAGGTGCTCTCTCGCTGACTAGCTCCCAAGAGGTCAAAGGTGAGACGCCTACGTATGTGAATTTGAAATATATAATGGTCTCCCTATTTCTCGTGAAGAGATTCAGAGATATGTGGAACGGCCGATCAAGAGCTGACAAAATTTCATTTGGAAACACTGAAAGTGATGGTAAAAATCTCACCTGGAAAGGCGGAGACTTGTTTCTCCTGCAGCAGACGCAGCCAAGAAGGGCCAACGCCGCGCACATCACAAGAAGGACCAGACTTGCTGCAATTGGGCCCCATACTTCTTCAGCTCCACCTGGAACAAAACAAGAACATTTTATTTAGGTTAATTTGTAACTCAGATGAGAGACTGCTTATTTTACCAGATATAAATACAAATGGTATCAAATTAATTTATGTAATTTTTGATCACAACTTGAGACGTAAAATCTTTATATTTAAATAAGCTTTTTTCTTTTTTAATGAAAGAAAGATCCAAATTTTTGTCGGTTGAAGTTATTTTTGCCATTTAATGTCACCATAAGTGAGAATTTCAACACGGACTGGCGGCGCAGTGACATCAATAGTGCTCTGCTCGCACATTACGTAAGCAAAATAACGGCGTGCACCAATTGAGAAGCGAGCGAGCAGTTTGTACTACTCTTCCATCTTGCTGCTATTTCAGCAGCACAGATAGTTGCAGTGCACGAATGTCGTTCGCCACCTACATGATATTCGTCTCTTTGATATACAAAGAGTGAAAGGGATTACGAGGCGCGCATGCAGTTTTCTCGGCGACGAGTGATTTTTATATACGTGCGGCGAGATACGCCGCAGCGACTGGTTACCAATCCACGTATACAAGCAGAACAGAATGTACAATCGCCACTCGCAATCGACACACTCGCGGGGGTTGGATTACCTACCGCGTCGCCAAGAAAATTGTAAACTGGATTTCTCGGTCGGTCGTTCTTGCGAGCTGATAAAACCGCAACGTGACGTTTAATAAAACAAGACTTGTTCATATCCAGACACTTTTTTCAATAATTATTGCGATACCGTCGCAAACGAACAGCAGTCGGTATATATTTAAAAAATAATAATAATGTTGCGATTGCCACCTTATCGCAGTATGATTAAAAAGAGAATTAGCTTGTAGAAGTTCAGGGACTTTTTAAAAAATTAGCACACGCTGGAAACAATGAAATCAAATCAGTATGAGTATTGGTAGATGATAAAAATTGATGATCTTTTCCGAGGATAATACTTCGTTCAACATTTCTTTGACAATTTTGAGTTGAAAAGTGGATCCCAAGTAGAAAAGTATTGCCAATTAAACAAATTAGCCAGTTTTTGTAATTTTTATAACAAATTAAAATATTATAATTAAAATCCTAGTGAAAATGTAATCTGCAATATGACAGTAAATATATATGTAACTATTAAATGTTCCAACTTTGCTCTTTTTAACTCAATTTCAAAACATGACCCAGCGCTAGAGGAAAATTGCCTTGTGAACACTTGTGAATAATTCAAATAGATAAATATAAAAATTTCTTGCAATTAATTGTTATGAAGCTTGGAAAATTGTTTTCTTAATAATCATTTTAGATTACAAGTTTAAGCCATTTAAAAAAAAAATTATTTCCAAAAACCACTGCTAATTTTTATTACTTTTAATCACCTTACATTTAAAGGACGTTGTAATATTTATAAATTTATTCCCTGCACACCTCACCATTCTAAATTCCAGCAGCTGATTACGAAATAGTCCATTAAATATGTATAGCTGCAGTTGCATTGTAAGTATATGGAGGACAAGATGCGACAAGATAAATGTTCGATTAAAAGTAGCACCGCCGGCGAATCGTGTACACACGTGCACCGCCGCAACCATGAATGAAACTGCTGCTGATAAGCGAGTTCAGACTCCAGTGTTGATGACGCCAAACTCGTTTGACCTCATCCCCCTTGAGACCATAGGTTCTGCGTAAATCATGTTATCCCGACGGAGGATGGATTTTATAGAAAAGTTATTCTACGTCAAGACCGGCCAATTTATAAATTTAACCTGATAAGCAAAGTTTTATAAATTAACGCTCTCGACGTTTAGCGTCAAAATGAGTCAAGTGCTAATTAATTGGACACGACTGAGCGGTCCCCCCGTTCCGACCTTGCGACTGATTGTCGGGCAAGGCTGCTCGAGTTGCAGAAAAAGTTGCTCAATGAGGGCGTTATTCAATCTCGGTACGTAATTCGCGTGTTTGCATAAAGCTGCAGCCAGAGCAGGATAATCCAATAAAATTTCCAGGACAAAAGTGGCGGCCCTTTTATTTTGATTTCCCCAACGACGGCAACTAGCAGATTTATTTATTGTGGTTGACTTAGGCCAAAAAGGATTAAATTTGTTGATGCATTGCGGGCTTTGGGTCGATTTTGCCAGGTTTGCTACACGAATTTTTCTTATCAGTGTGATATTTAGGTCACAAAAGTATGCGCAAAAGCAAGAGCTGCCAAATTTAGACTGCTCGGCATAGACATTGGTGGCTTAAAAATTATTGGAATATCGATTTGTATCCTTAATCTAAAAAAAAAGCATCAATTTAATATAAAGCCTCTTAATAAAATGAAAATATCTATTTAATAATGAATTACAATTTAAGCAATTTTCATTACCGACAAGGAAAATAATTTTTAATCAAAATTGATCATAAAAGAGCTATTTCTACATGGCATGTTGTTTTTAGCTTGGAATAAAGTATTTTAAAATAAAAGTGAATAATAGCAATATATTTTGAGAATCGGTTTAATCTTGCCATGAATTGCGTTTTTCACAAAAGATATTTTTGGTATGCAATTCAATATACAGACAGATGGTCAAATACAGGTTTAAATTAGGAGCATTACGAACAGTTGCCAATATTTTTCATCTCTATGAGAAGCACCAAGTGCAGCAGTCGAGTATGTATTTTCTCTGGGAAACCTCCAAGTCATGTCTTGCTTGCATTGGAGCGTTAAATCGCCGCTATGCATTTATTTACTTTAGTTGAGAGTTAAGAGTCCTAATTAAATTATTCAAAGTGACGCACATCAGCCCTGTGCGTCGCGCCAGCGAGGATTATTTTTCAGCAAACGACCGCGATAAGAAATTGCGACACGAGTTTACAAAACAAAAAGAGCGTTTAGTCTTTGCACCTTTGTGCGACTAACAACAAAAATAAGGGCGGCCAAATTATTACATTTCCTCTCCACATGTTGCCAAAATAATAAATGATGGCGTCCAGTTGGCACCGTGGGTTGAAATCGCCTGGAAAATAAATTGCTGCGAAATAATTTGGATTTGTATGGCGAGCGGAGGGAAAAGGCTTGCGGCGTGTCATGTGTATATATGTACCGAGCTATAAAAACTTGTGAGTAATCGTATAAAGAGATTTCGCAGATGCTGCAGAAGACTTAAAACATGACGGTCGCAGCACAAAGCCCCGGCCGGCCGGCGTATGTACAAGTGCAAAATCTTCTTGCGCCAGATGGGCTGACAGCAGAAGCTGAATTTCGCGAAGGCGTTTCTCAGTTCCGCTGCACTGCTGCTCTATGGCAAAAAGAGGAACGAACATCCGCGAGACGGAACGGGAATTAAGCTCGGCTCGGTAAACTTGGGCTTTTGTTCCTCAAAAATGGCATTAAGAGCAAAGACAAAAGCACCCAAGTCTGCCAAAGTCATTTTATAAAGACAGGTGTGCAAAATTTCACCACCTAAATTGGATTCTAAGAAACTCTCATTGTCAGTCATAGTGAATAGCAAAATTTGATATTCAGTGTTAATAAATAATTGATTTTCTCTATTTTTTTCTTCATAATTCACTTTGATTTTGATTTACGTTGTTGAATTAATTAAATTTTACGTTTTTCTTTCTTAATTATTTGAATATGCATGGGAAAACTTGATATAATTTAAAAATTTAAATTCCACCTTCAGCATTTATAGGCCATAAAATTAGCAACACCACAATAAATAGCACAGTAAAATCAAAATTGAGATCACCACGGGCAATAAAGTTTACTCGATTGTTATGTACCTCGACAACCTGAGCTCCAAATGTGACTTTTCAAGGCTCACTCACTTGAGACACGCCGGAACAGAGCGCACGTCGACCCACGATTTGCACCTACGCGCAAGTCGAAGCAAATCGGACCACAGTGGAAAAATAAACAGCCGTCATTAAGACGAGTTTAAAATACACCAAAAATCCATATTTACAAACGACCAAATTAGCTCCGTCCTTCAAACATCATCAATCATCGGCCGAAAAACCAAGAGCAAAGTTTGCTCGTAAGCATATGCAGATTTAATGCATTGGCAGAATCACGCACATTGGATTTCGAGTTGGAGCGGCGGCGAAATCAATAGCGGGCGAGTGGCGGTGCTCTCGGGACGCGCCGGCTAAAAATATAATGTGCGCGCAAAACTACACCTAACCAACCAAGTAATTAAAAGTAGAGACGGATTTGAAGCGCCCGCCGCCGCCGCCTGCGAGCAGACGACGCGAGGAAAAAGACGAAAAAAGAAAAGGATAATCGGATCTTCAACAAAGCGGCGGCCACCGTGCGACGTGGCTGCTGCCGGGACGGATTCCGCTGCCTTTGTCTGTCCGAGCGAATTGAGAGAGATGGAGAGCGACCGGCCCACGTGGACAGGCAGCGGAGAACAAATTCGCTTTTGAAGGGCACATTCGCCGGTGGACCAACATTGGAACTTTGTTCTGAGGCATCAAAAGTGACAATCGATTCTTCAGACTCGTAAAAAAGATGGGAAAAAACACACACCACAAATTGTTATAGGGGCTTCTTCTACCAGTATTTTCCTCCAGGGAGAACCATGTTAAAGCAGCAATGCTATCTCACAGGAGGACTAAAAGAGCTTATATGTCTTTTTTTTTAATTTTAGATTTAAATTTAAATACTATAATTAATCAATATTATTTATTTTATTCTTTCAGTGTCAAACTATTTTGTTTCTAATTCAAACCTAAATAACTTAAAAGACATTTTGTTACTTTTTGTCACTTATTTGTACAATAAATTAATTTAAATTACTTGATATTCATTTTGGAGTTTTTTTTAATCTAAATTAGTAAAAGCAATAATATATGTGAATTTTTTACGTTAATCAATCTCTCACTTTTTTTTCATTGAACATAATAGCAACGATAATATAATAACACATAAAAAGTGATCTGGATGGAGAAATCCATTTGCATATGAACTGGATTAAGGAGATTTACGTACAAGATTGAGTTACTTTCTGTCCTTTTTGTATGGCTTATTTTTATTAAAATCCTTGGAGAACTAAAAAAATTCAACAAACCTTCAACAAAATTTTTCTTAATTTCTTCTTGTCTCAAATTATTTAACATTGAAAAGCAAAAAATTAAATGAATATTGGTATTTCTTTCAGCTTAAATATTTTGTTTCACCAAAAAATTATCCTCTTTTGAACTTTTTGGCCTCACACCCAAATTTGAGGGCGTCCAAAAAAGTAAACCGGAGCAGCAGGTCTAACTCTTTCTTTCTTTCATTCTTTATCTTTTTCTGTCCGTCTCTTGGTCTTGCGATGGCATATGAGTGAAATGTTTTCGGCCGCGGCGCGAGAGATAAATGAAGGCGGAGGGAACGCGCGCGCGAGAGATATTATTATGTGAGTCATCGCGGGCGAGTTATTGTGTGCCCGTTGGTTGCAGCTATTTACACTGGTCGTGAACCGGCTGTGTGTACTCGCCGTGCATGTGCGGTACGTACTTATACCCCATTCAAATGCCAGCGGAGCAATATTTTCACTCTCGCTGCTGACGGAAGAATTAAACCACCAGCAGCTTTTGCGCGTTCATTTTTAATGAATAATTGCGCCAGACGCGAATGGCTGCGGGACTAATTTAGCGCTCGAGCCGCGTGAATTAAATAAGCGGCGGAGCAGAAGAAGAAGAGGCTTTTCCATTTTGCGCCATTGTGTCATTTTGCATGCCTTCTCTGTAGCAAGGCCACTTCGATGTAGATAACGCGCCTTGCTTTTCTTTTTGCAATTTAATTTTTCTCTCTGAGCGAATTTTTGCTGCTTCTCTTCGGGCAAAGAAGGACGTCATCAATAAACTTGAACTGGAATTACATATTATTGCCCTTTTCCACGCCACTTTCAAGTGAAACAACACCATTAACCGATCGCCTTGAATTCCAACGTTGACTGCTCACAACGAAATACATGCTAAAACTTTGAATTGTCAATCGATTATTTAGATTAATTAATAACGAGAAATTTGAATATTGACGTTTAGATTTCATGGTTTCAAGCACGCAATATTTTATACATTATAACTCGCGATTAGTTTGAAAAACTCATTTTTCTGTACCTACTTTTTGTAAATTAATTTTTAAAAATATACAATTTAACAATATACAATATAATGAATTTATATTTTACAATTTCCAAAATTTCTAAAAAGCCTAAAAATAATCACAATAATCTGGCAAATCAGATACAGCAGAGTTACATTTTAAGTCGATTTAAAAAAGGCTTGATTTTTTCATGTCTTACATTTTTCACAAAAAATGTGAATGAAAGCAGGTAGATCTTTTTACCTCTAACGATTGTATCTTTTTAAGTTATAATTAATTAATAGTTATTTTATTATATATGTTATAAGTGATAACCTTCAAGTTTATTAGTGCATTGATTAATTATAATTAATTAAGCCATTTCTTTTCTTAAATACAATATTTTTTCAGAATGGTTTTTCAGGGATTTTAAGTTTTGTAAATTAATAATTATTTCAATTTCACCTATTTATTATTACACACTGATATTAACAGAAAAAAAATTCATTTGATGTTAATTATACTGCGGTTAGTTCTGCCACTTTCCTCATCTTGACGCCCTTTTCCTTATTGATAAACTAATAATTATAAAATAGTTAAAATTTGTCAATCGTGCGTCAAAACCAAGTATGGTGATAAATTTGCCACTCTGTGAACTTTTTTATCCTCTCAAGAAGGCACCAAAGCAAATCCAAAAGAATAAAAAATTAATGGGAGCACAAAATAAAAAAATGGCTAAACGGCAGGCGCAGGTGCATTCAAATAATAACAAACATGATTTTCATTCAATTCCATTGTAGCTCGAGTGCTAATGAGGCTAAATGCTAATATTGAGCGCATTGAAAATCAGTCTGCAGGTGTTACGGTACCGGCAGCGTCGTTTCAATGTTATCTTGCCGCAGCACCGACGGAGCGAGCGACCCACTGCGTGCATCAGTCTCTTTATACACCCAGCAGCGATTTTTTTTCATAGTTTTTATGGAACATAACGGGGCTCTTTATTATAAATATAGAAGACGCGAGGTGTAATCAAATCGACCGCGCATGATTTGCTTGTTTTTCTTCTCTTCCGCCTCCTGCTCTCCAATAAACTTATTGCAATATTATAGAATCTTTGCTTGTTTGGTAAATGTGCGAGAGTGTGAAAGATAAAATCGTAAGCGAAATAATGATCAAAGTGAGTCAGGGCAGAGGCGATTCGTGGAAACTGGAAAGAATGGGCTGCGCGCTCTCAGCATTTATGTTCATAATGCAACACAATCGCTGCCAGTTTCAATGTTGTTTTCAACTTTTTCTGCGTGGCTTTGAACTATTGGTGCAATAAAGTTGAGCCGTAAAAGTGTTTTATTCTTCTTCTTTTGAAGATAAATAATTTTTGTTTCACAACTTGACTGAGTGAGATGCAGTTATAAAGTTTGGGGATTTTGAAAAATCAATTTTAAAGAAAGGAAGTCTTATAAAATTTTAATCCTTATGTAACAATAGTTAATTCATTCATTCTGGCTTTTGAAAGGCATAAAATAATTAAAATTAAGAATGAATAAATATGTTTTTAGTTTTAAATTACACAAATTTACAAATATTTTTGTTGAAACATTAAATTTCTTTCAATGAGACGGATCACCACGATTTTTTTTTTAATAATACCTTTCAAATTGTTTTTCAAATTGCTACAATTGATTTGATCTTCAAACAATACCAAGTGGGAAAATATTCAACTCGGGAGCTCTTGTTGTCGGCGTGAAACGTGCTCCTGCATGTATAGGTACATTGGCAAAGTGTCTGCACAAATCCTTTCCTCGCGTCTTTTGCCAGCCTTTGTGAAATTATTTTTCTGTCTGGCTGCCTCGGTGACGGCGGCACTGCCTGCTTCTGTCTGTCGTTCGTTTGACCATGCATGAATGGAAAGAGAGCAAGGCTACGCCAAACCGACTTCTGAGATAGATTTTTTTTCTTGTTCTGCACCAAGAAGTACTCTGCAAAATAGTGCAAAGTCGCTCAATCGAATTTGCAATCACCGACTATATCACGCAGATGAATGAGAAGAAAGAGATTCTTGGCGCATTGTATGGAATGTGAAGAAAGCGTGTAAAAAAACACGTGTAATTATAAATCGGCGTGCTCAAAATATTTTGCATATTTTTGCAATTTGTGAAAATTTTTCCTTCCAAAGCCGCTAGACTTTTAGTGCTGTCGTAATTATAGTGTCGTAATTATGCAGGCGCGGAAATTTATTTACGAGTTGTTAATCTGCACGCTGTGCAGTCGTGATCATGACAGGAAGAACTTTCGATCGGATGCTCAAATGGCACTTACATTATTGTGTTCAAAAATTGGTAACTTGGAAGGCGGGCGTGGAATTCTTACAAATAAAATTTATCTTACTTATTGAAAATTTTTATATTCAAATTTTTTTGTCAAAAGAAATAATAAAATAAAAAATTGGAATTAACTTTTTTTGAAACTAAGCTTTTTTTATAAAAAGCGATTAATTAATGCTATAAAATAAAATGTTACAATATCTTGAAATTTAATATTGTAGGAAACTTCAGATTGCGTGAATATCTTGATGAAAAATTGCTAGCTCTCTCAGCGTCAAATAAGAGATAAAAATCTCTTCTGTCACTTATTTGAATTAATTTTTTATTTTTTTTTTTTCATAACAAATTAATATGTTACTTTGGTGAGAAGAAAAATATAAAAATTTCACTTCAAATTATAAACCTCAAGATCAAAATAATGAAATATAAATTTTGTCAATGTTATTCTAATTGCGTAGCAATTCAACTCTCCTTAATTTGATACAAGGCAATCTTTATTTTTAATTTTGTAATAATGTTAAATAATAGAGAAAAGAATTGAAATGTCGGTTTCAACCCATGCAAACTTTCAAATTCGCAATACATACTTTTCTCTTCTTTTTGTTTGGCAAAAATCTAATAGCTACTGTAATAATATTAATCAAAGAGTCGAATTTGTTTAGAATTGCGGCCCAATAACGATTGAGATGCCCTGTTTCTTTGCATAATATTTTTTATTTTTCATACCTGCAGTATTGGTCCAGTCGATGGGGTAGCTGTCGCACTGGTGGAGAAGGGCGAGCACCAAAACGACGATCTCTCGACAGTCCGAGGCCATGGTGCTCAAACCATTGGTCAGGTCGGTCGGTCGAACAGGCTAGTAGGGCCGCTTCCAAGGCTCAATGGACTCTACGCTCGGCTGGTCCATCGTGGCCGTTGAGAATAAGCTGCTGTTGCTGGTGCTCGAGACGAAACAAGCAGCAAGGGTGCTGCTCACCAAAAACTCACACGAGACCTGAAGGCAGACATGTTCGCAGTTCACGGTCGCAGTTCGGCGGAGAGAAGAAAATAAAAAGCTCGCGAATTCGGTGCGCGGAGTGAGCACAACCATCAACATGCACCGTTCTCCAACATCGCTCTCCGGCTCTCTCCGCTACGGAACGAACCCCTCAGCTGCAAACTGACTGATGATGGCGCATTGCGCATCGAGGCACCACCTTGCTCCGCCGATTTCAAGCCTTTCCCTATCGAAAGCTACCATTAATATGTTTTCAAAAAATAGCTCGGAAAATTATAAATTCAAATACAAACCGAAAGCAGCAACCAAGCCCAGAAAAACCGGAAAATTGGCGAAAAAATTCGCAAAATTCTAGTTTCCTCGTATAAACTTCAGAGGGCAGACGTGCAGGGACCGGTGCTTTTTGCTTAGGCGACTGCAGCGCCACCGACCACCGACGAGCAATTCTCCAAGGTGCAAAGAAACCTGTTTTTTTCTTTCAAGTTGCCCACTCTGCCGCTGCCGCGCGCACAGGAGAATCCTGCTAAGGTTGGTACATACGCGAGTTTAGTCGGGTTGTCTGCCTTGCGTTGTGCATAATACACACACACAGTGAGTTCAGTTCCCCGCCCATCAGCCAGACGCTTTTTATTTCCTGCTGGGTGGGTGCCGAGCACGAAATGCAGGCTATCAAGTGTGTCGTCGTCGGCGACGGGTGAGTAGCTACCCTTTGAACATCCCCACGGCCCCAACTGATCTGTACCTGCAGCCAAAAGCGTCTTCCCAAAAGCGTGACTCTGCGAACCAACACCGTCGGCGACTGGCCGCCATCATGAACAATCATATCATACGCAGGGCCTAATGAATTCGCCAAGGCCGTGCCATTCGCACTCAGCTTCCTTCTTGTCCCCGGTGTGTCCTCTCGATTGACCGGCCCCTTTTTTATTAATTGGCACTCCAGACGGGCCAGTCAATAGAGACCCAGACGCCTATCCACGTCAAAGAGTTGACTCTTCTTCCTTCCGCGGAGTTGTCGGAAGGTTTTTAAATTCGCCTTTTATTTCCACTTTTTTCCAAGTAACTTTGTTGACACCAAATTAGAGGTTCTCAATTATGCACTGATTTCGATGTTCCGAGACCGCACTGATTTCCCCCACTTTTGGTGCCGAGAAAATCAGAAACGAAACTGTGCAAGATTGCATACGGTGACAGGTGTCTGTGACTTTTTAACGTCAAAACTTGCTTGAGGTGCTCAAATATTTAGGAATTCGCTCTTCGGAAGAAAAACTTGTTGCTCGGAGATCATTCTTAAAAGTTTGATTCAATCGTTGAAACTTATCTTTATCCTGACATTGGGAGGAAACCGGGCCAGAAAAAAATGTGGTATGCGGTCAGGGATGTTGTATGAAATAAAATTAAGGTGTGAGCTATGTATGAGTGATTTGAGGAACTTATCAGAACATACAAATCTAAAATAAATCGACGATGATGTAAATAATTTACAAGTAAAAAAAACACATCAATTTATGATATTTGTTTTAGAATAATTAAAATAAATTGCAGTGGTTGGTTATGTAACAAACTATACTAAAAATATTTTTTCGCTGACTTTTCTGCCATTAATTGTTGTTTTAATTTACAAATTACTTTTAATATGCAGCGGGAATGTAGAGATTTATCAATTCAAAATATGTACTTTTGCCATTAGAATATTTTGTTTTTAATTAGCAACACACTGACCCTCTGGGAGATTAAGTCTGAAAAGTTATCAATCACTTGAGTCTCAATTTTTCATTTTTGACTTTCAATTTGCATTTTATCTATTTTTGATTTTGAGATTGACATTATTATTCCTTTTTTTTATAATATAAAAAAAAAATACAATTTTATATCAAGGGTTCACATTTATCTAATTTATTTATTTTTCTGATGAGAGCAAGATTCAATTGAAAGCTCACGTCGGCACTTCTTTCAAGTATACGAATTGTATAGAATCAAACACAGTCTTCCATCAGCAGATAACATGGTAGGCGATGATGCACGATCAGAATGAGTAACGCAAACATCACCGGATAGCCCGCGCCGTCGGTTATTCCATATCACATTTACATCCAATTAAGAAGAAGTCACGCTTGTCTGACTCAAACTCATTAATTTAAACGTGCAATTTTCCAATAATGAGTGTAAAATGTAACAATCAGCCTTGGAGAGAACAATTTTCTGTTTTAAAAATGCTATTCAATGATTTAAGATCCGCTGCAATCCTCTAAACAACTTTCGCTGTATTTTTTTTCTCTGTATTAAAAAAATTATATTTTGCTTGCTAATTTGAATTCAATTTTTCAAATAAATCAGCTGATTTTAAAATTTGAGAATTTTTACGCTAAAAATTCAGCGAAATTAACTTGATTCAATCAAGAGTGACAATGGCGCCTTAATCACGTCTCTGGATGAAACAACGTTGGCAGGTTCCGTTGGTAATCTCCCCCGAGCACTGCCGGCTGATTAAAATGCACAAACGTGTAATTGAATGGTGTCTGTGTTTGCATGGCAAACGCGGAGGAAAGTTGACGTCTTGCCAACGTCGGCTTGGAGCGCGGGCCCTGCCACTGTACAAAAACGACATCCGCGTGGTGCTGCTGCTGGTATTTGGCGCTCCATTAGCGTTATTGTTATTAATGGCGAGCGACAACAAGAGCGGCAACTTCCGTGCCGGCGTCCTTTCGCGCGTTCAAAGGTTGCGTCGGCCAAAGGGCACCAACCAGAAGTGAGTCACCGTGCTGGCTGCGACAGTTTATTTACGTCCAGAGGCTTGTTAGAATTATGAAAAAGCCACCATGACGCAGTTTTGTGGCATAAAAATTACTTTAAAAATCTTATTTTTATGTCTTTTCCTTAAAACTTTTATCATTCACCATTATAACAGGATAGTTATGGAAGAAAAATAATAAGTTCTTCCAACTATGAAATAAAGAAAATTAAAAAAAAAAAAAAATTTGTTCAATCAGATCATTTATATTTAATTTGTATGCAAGTTTTTTATAATTAAATTTATCTTTTAAAGTTTCTGAGCTTAAAAATATGACTGGATTCTATTTTCAACGGCAAAAAGAATGTTCAAGCATTATTGAGGAAAATAATTTTTAAACGTGAAAATCTCACGAAATTTTTAAAATTTTCAGAGTGAGTGGTAAAAATTTGGTAGGAAAAATGAATTCTGTGTCAGTCCGCTCTACGAGCAATTTTGCTCTGAATCCGCAAACATCACCCAGCACATTAATTGAGCGAATGCAGGGAACCGCATCCTGCTCGCTTGCTTTGATGGTTCAAAGTAAAACGCTGCCGGTAAAAGTCTTTAAGAGAAGAGAGAAAGGCTGGATTGTGTCAACCCCTTTCCTCTCTGGCAAAAGCTTTTGTCGCGCTTGTTCTTCCTCTCCAGTCGGCGTGGATTCGCACAAAAGGAATTCGCGACGACGCAGCCGGCGGTGAGATGTAATTAAAGCACTTTTTGCTGTTGGCGGTTCTTGCTAATCAAATTCTCACTTGCAAAGACACTAATTAGATTTAAAAATATCCTTGCCTGGATATACCGAGCTTAATTGGACTTTGATATTAATATATTTCCCTGTTGTTGATTTTTTTTTTTGGTCAAAGAGAAATCATTTGAACTGGTGAATATGCTTTATAGAATTCACACTGAAGACCAATTTTGGTCACAAGCGATTCAAAACCGTTGGAAAGTGACACTTGTTTGTTATCCAAACGACCCAACTTTGGCCAGATGGCTCATTCAACCGCCGATTCACCTTGTAGCACCAATTACGGCCGCACAGTCTCTTGAGCAACTCCATTCTCTCACCAACTTGCTCACTTTCAAACTGCTTCAATTGAACTACCAAGCAAAGAATATAAGTAAATCTTCATAACCTGAAACATACAAATGAGGATTAAAAAAATTGACCAAATAATTTATAGTTAAACAGCGGAAAATTTGAGCAATTTCTCACGAATTTGCCAAGCTGTCTTTTTCTTTCTGCCAACCACGTGAGAAAATATGTTATTATTTAAAGAGCCGAGAGCAACCACCATGCAGCTTCTGTGTTATTAAAACACATACTGGATGCATCTCCTGCGCTCACATGCGGGCACGCAGAGATGACTCAGTGAGGCTGATTTATTTAACACAACACTCAGTCAGGAAACTGTCATCAGCTGCATGGTTTGTTTTTCTACTTAGCCGTTTATCCGTTGAGAGCTCAAATTCACCAATCTCCTGTCGATCGCTGATTTTTTTGTGTTCGGAAACTTCAGCCAAGCACAGATTTTATTACGTCCCTCTATCTCGGCGTCAACATCTTCTGCTAAAAGGGACTTAAGTAATAAAAATGGAATTTAAAAGGCCAGCCGACTAGACCCTGCTCGCTCCAACAGACTGGAGTGACATTGTGCCGAGTGAAATTGATATACTGGAGGAACTGAAGGCCTGTTGCGTCAAAACAAAGTGCATTATGCGGGCGGACATGAAATTATTATACCATGTCCAATTACTTTAAAAGCTATTTAATTTTTCCTAGATGCACAATGGAATATAATTTTATAATTTATTACTTTTTCGACACATTAATTGGAACATTGAGACATAACCAAAAATAGTAATATTTATTTGAGTAAAATTAAAATGAAAGTTTGCAAAAAGTTTGAGTAAAAACAAAACTTTGAAAATGGGCGATGGAAAATTTCCCTCTGAGGATCGAGAGAGTAAACAGTATTGAATAAATAAAAGAAAAATCCAATTTGACTTGAGGGTTACCTGAATTGCTTATTGATATCAGAACTAATGAACTTGTTTAATTGGGAAATTTTATGAGCTTTCCATTGTCATACAAAATCTGGCACAATTTTATGCGCTTTGAACTTTTTTCGGCCTTCTTTACTGATAAACTCTGGTAAACTCATTATTTGCAAAAAAAAAACCTTTTCACCTTATCGCAAATTTTGATTGCGACTTCCGTCAAGCAGTTTGATTCTGCGGGGGATGCAGATGAGCGGATCGATGACGAAGTTGCTTATAAAGGGCTTTTCAGTTGCTCACTGGCTCAGAAGAGTGCCCCTCGCAGCACACACTGCTAATCCACTGCTCGCACGCAAATTCCAGCAGGACGAAACAAAAAGAACCTTGAGCGGCTCCCAGAATATCTGACACCGTAAAATTTTACGCCCCATTCATCGGCCTATGAAAAAAGCCGGCAGATTTGCCAAAGCCATAAAATGCAGCAGGCTCGCAGGTTGCTGCCGTTTTGCTTAAAATATTGAGGGACATGCAAAGGAGGATTAAAAAGAAAAAAAGTTTAAAGTAAAAAAACTAAATAGGCTGGCGGAAAATTTAATTATAAGGTTTTTAAAGCGTAAATTTTAAATTTCCATAGAAGTTTTCCTAGAATGCCGTCAGAAAATAAAATCTTGTAATTCGTGCTAAAATGTGCAAACTCTCTTGATTAAAAAACACGAAACGTTCATTTCGCGATGTTTCCAACAAAAATGGTTTGCTCGTAGCGTCTTTCTTGAGCAACTACTACGCTTGCGAGTGACGCGCCTTCGACCTTCACTGTATAGAAACAACTTAAACGATTTATTGTTCCAAAGAATGTGAAAAACAACGCCGTTCTTTTTCTATTCTGTTGTAAGAAACGAGACGAGCCGTCGCTGCTCCAGACT